AACATGATCACAGATCATCTAAACTTTATCAGAAACGTTCTGGTTTTCCTTTAGTCGGGCTGATAAGATGCCAGGCATGTTGACAGAGTTAAAGTTTTTAACTACAGTTTAGTTTATCTGTAATAATCTCAAGGTACTTAAAGTGTTTTGATTTGGCTAAGTGGATAATAGTGAGGTTAAAAGGAAGTGACACAGGTGAAAGACAACTGACATTAAATGATCTTTAACAAACAAAGCGTAGCATGTAACACTTCTTACACACTAATCGCCTGAAGTACTGGGATTTAATGGGATTTAATGGGATTTAATGGGATTTAATGGGATTTAATGGGATTTAATGGGATTTAAGTGCTGGAACAAGGCAGGTCTGTAGATGCACAATCCAGGAACAACTTCTTACTTTCATTAACATGCCTGCGTGGCGCGTCCTGTGGCATGAGACATCAGACCGCCCACAGAGAGACATTAGGTCGTCCACAGAGAGACATTAAGTCGTCCACAGAGAGACATTAGACTGTCCACAGAGAGACATCTAATGTCTGCCTGTGGGTAAATACAGCTTAAATTAGCATCACATTAAAAAACGGCCACTATTTTGAAGTTGGGTTGCTGTTTCAAGCATTATTAGAGTGGTGAGGTTTATTAAAAAGTAACTTAACATCATTAAACTCAGAAGTTGTAAGATAAATAAAACCAAACATATTTTCCAAATGGAGTTCTTGCTGGAACATTGATGAGTCATTGCTGGTGTCGTATCAGTGAGGAGTTTGTTCTGTCTACAGCAGGATCTTAAACTCCAGTCCTCCAGATGTCCTGCAGTTTCTACATGAGCCACGGATACGAAACACTGGCATGAAATGGCTTCATTTCCTCCTCCTTGTGTGGATCAGATCTCCAGAGACTTAATGAGCTGATCATCCCATCCGGTGGTGCAGCAGAGGCTCATCTAAAGATTTCAGGCCCTTCAGGACTGGAGTTTGACTCCAGTGGAATAAAAGGAGCCTTTGTTTTACTTGTCAAAGCGCCTCAGGGAGTCCTGCAGGTTTGAGCCTGCAGGTGATCAGAGTTTAAACATAAACCTGAAAGGCCATATTATTTTTCCATCAGTTGCATAAACTCCTGTTGAAACGTTGACATTGAAACAACTCAACCACAATCCGGCTAAAAATGTTAAATAGTTCTGATTTGTTTTCTGTTTGGGCGTGTGCAGTGGTAAGGCATTAACCTTTATGACCTATGACCCCATGTAATCTTTGCATCAACTTTGCATCAGTCCTTCACACTTTTTGAAGCAATAATCTGATAGGATACTTACCACCCAATGTTTTTACCACCAACCATCACCGAGTTAAAGGTAACAACGTCTCTAATCAACCCAGAGGATCAATAAACCTGCCGACTCCATGAATCAATCATCATTTTCTCACAATCAGTGGTTTTCTTCAACTTAAGAGATAAAATGTTCACAATTTACCTGAAGTTCAATTCAGCAGAATTAATAAACAATTTATTCAGTCTGAGATGTTCTACACTCTGCTGCCATCTAGTGGTCAAATACTTTTAGGAATCTTGAAAACCACAAAAACAAGATAAAATCTGATCCTTTTTTTCTTTCTTTCTTTCTTATATTAATATTTAATCTTGTTTATTTTTTTCATATGACAGGCCGCAAATGAATCCACATAATGTTCAGTCGTCAGTCAAATTCTATTGCATCAATTAAAGCATCATATCAGAGTCAGATATTTTCTCCCAGAGAGAGAAGAGGTAGACTCTGTGTCTGTGGTAAAATCCAGTTTTAAATATATATTTGATTAATAAAAGTAAGATCCCTGCTAAAAAGATTCCCCAGGTTTTATTTGTTAGGAATAATTGGGACCAATCTGTGTCTCTTTGTGTCTCCAATGTGCAAATCTGTAAGATTTCTATCTTCCCAAACAGGGAAAAGATTTTGAAGTTTCAAATTTAACATTATAAAATTATTTTAAGGTTGTTTTACTTAAGCATTTGCAATTCTTGAATACTGAAATAATCTGCTGGTTTCAGTCCAATTCTTGTGTTTATGGAACCAAATTAAAATATTTGTTTTAAAATGGAAGAAGTATTACATTTTTATGTATCTATTTATTAATCTACAGTTATACCAATAAGGAGACATGTGATATCTATTCATCAATAGATATCACATGTTTATCTATTTATTAACGTTGCAATGACAGGTCACTTTCTGAAACTTTTGTTCTGCATTTTTATGCTGACTCATTCATATATTGAGTAATTTTGTGGGACAAAATCATGACACTTTGATTACAGGCTTGATTTCCATCCTTGATTTGTGGCTGTTAAACAAACCACAAGCCTATAAAAAATAATGAAAAGCATTTTGTCAGACCAGTACTCTAGCATTTCACTAGGTGGAAGCAAAGAGCAGGAAGTTAAACTGGTCAAGCAGTGACTCTGTGATTTTCCGTTTCTAGTTGTGGCTTGTGGGGAAATAATTTACTCAAACTGCAATTTGTCAAATATAAATATAAAATAAACTTGCCTGGTGCTGTTTACTGGATCCCTGCGGCACAAAGCATAGAGATTATTATGATCTACTGGATCAAAACCAGTACACGAGTCTGTACTGGACAGACACAAGGATCTAACAGAACCAGTACCGTCCATTATCTTGGGTCAGAGTATCGTTGCTGTTTTCCTGTTCTGAAACCAGACAGACCAATACTGGATCAATACAGTCAAAATAATCAATACATTTACCTTTGTTTCAGTTTCCAAGTCCATCATTTTTTAAAGCTTGAATAAAATATTGCTGACATTTGGAGTTATTGAATTTATAAGCTGTCTAAACATGCATGTTTGGAGCCAACATTTGGTTTGGAGAAAACCCTCAGAAGGTGAAGAAACAAACCGACGGTTCTGAACTCAGTTCGATTTTTATCTCTGCTTTTTAACTTCAAACTTCTTTTTTAGCTGCTTGTCAAGAAAACTTAGCAAACAACATTTATAGCTTTATTATGTTTGTTGTTGTTTCTTATTGGTTGCATTGAGTTGATGTTGGCAGTTTGACTAAAAAACAAACTAACTCCTGTTTAAAATATCCACAGCTGCCCCTAATGATGCCTCTGCTGATGACGGTCAGTGGGTTTTTTGTCGTTTTTTTAGTCCCAACTCTAATCCATGATAAATAGAGCAAGGCGGCAACAAAGTAAGTTTACATGAGTACTGCATGTCAGGAGTTTTGAGAATCATTTTTTCGAAAACCTATTTCTTTCATTCCACTAAACTTTCAACGGTAAGATTATATTTCTGATTTCACTAAAGTCAGATGACAAATGTGGAAGTGAAGAATCAGGTGAAAACTCCTGTTAAAATAAAACCTGTAAAAAATAAGAAGGCTTTCGTTATTTGTAACCGTTTGCCACACTGGGTTATTTCTTGACATCGAGCTTCAATAAATTTGATTCTGAATCATTTTGATGTGACAAAATAAGGTAATTTTCAGAGTTACGTCACATGCACCCCCTGATCTGAACTCTGCATTTGTTTAGTGTCAGAACAAGTTGACTTGCTCCAGAGATCTGATGCTTGTCCTTCTGGCTGGACTCCCATCAACAGTCGCTGCTTTCAATATGTTCAGAAACCCATGACTTGGGCGAGAGCCGAGGTGATTTCCAACAACATTGTGCTCTTATTTTCTTTTATTCTTTGCTGAAGAAGTCCAGCTACTTCTAACTGTTATGACTGCAGAGGAACTGTCTGTCCATGGGGGGAAACCTTGCATCAGTTCAAGACATGAACGAATATCGTCAGATTCAGGCTATAATAGCTACAGCAAGTTACGGAGCCAAAACAGCATGGATTGGAGGTTCTAATGCACAGGAGGTATTGATGCCACTACATTTATTTATTGTGTATTTTGGGAAACATTGAATGAAATGTATCATCTGCTGTTTATTGTCTTCCAGGACAACATTTGGTTGTGGAGCGATGGGAACCGGTTCATCTACACAGACTGGTGTTCTGGACAGCCTGATAATCATGGAGGCAACCAGCACTGATTACAGATGAACTATTCAGGTACAGGAAAATATCACAACTGTCTGTGTTTTCGGTTGGTAAGATGACTCATGGGTAAAACTAATTTACTGTGCATGTGAACTTTTTAGTTGACCTGCATAAATATTTACTGAATTTACAGCAGGAGCTTCTATTAATTTTCTTGTGGTAAAAGGGTTTTTATGATGTGATGTGTGACTGATTTGTTTTCTTGTTCCTAGATGACAAGTGCTGGGATGACTTGGAATGTTCTAATCGGCTGCCTTCTGTCTGCGTCAACACAATGTGAAAACTGTGAAGTTACTAAAAAGGCCTGATGTGTAAAACAGAACCAGTGGAGAATCAGAGCTGCTGTTTCTGTTTTCCTGCCTTTTTGCTTCTTCATAGAAAACCCAAAAGATATTTCTGCTTCTCTACTTCCTGTCATTTCTCTCTTTAATGCAACCTAAGCAATGAAGCGACAAGCAAACAGCAGCTGGATTGTCTCTCTGTAATAAAGTCAGACTGAATGAGTTTTAAGAAAGAACCTTCTATGCAAAACTTTCTTCAATTCTTTGTCTGAGCAAAAATAAAACTTTGAAGAATCAAAACAAGATGGTTTATTATGTGTGTTTGTTGTGCTCTGTTTGCTGAATTATTTCTAACACTATCATATGCTAGTTATTACAATATAAATATCATATTATAACAAGTTCTAGTCAAACCTGATGGTTCTTTGCTCATAAAAACAGAGAAAAGTTGCTTTATATCACCTGCTGATGTATTTTAGTCTTTACTTTGTTCTGGAGCTGCTCTCATTGAATCACCAAAAATTTCATTTCAAGTGACATTTTATTGCACTGGAACTAATGAAAGTATGAACGACCTGGTTATGCAATTCTGTGCAATGTTTGTCAGTATCATTTCCTCATGTTGTATCAAGATTAGAAGCTCTATAAATATCTAGCGATTCTGCAGTGAAGGCTACATTGTAGCCTTGTAGAAGAATCATCCGTCCACTTTGCTGGCTAAGAACACGGATCACTCTTCATCAGGTTCGCTGAACAAATTTCTGCTCATCTTTTTACTAACATGTTTGAATTTTATTAACACGTATGCTTTATTTCAGTTTGCCTTCAGCTTGCCCCATCACTTCATCTCCATCATGAAGTTGTCGGCTGTGTTCCTGATGGTTTTCTCCATGATGGCTCTGACCAGTGGTTCCGAGAACCGTTTTTGCAGTGAGTATTTCTTTCTTATCAAGCCCTGCTTAAGTTACTAAAACACAGAAACACAAACCAACTCTAGTTTAGATTATCTACAGCTGCTGCAGATTGTAGCTCTACTGATAAACATTATCTGGTGCTTTTTGTCATTGTTTTCTGATTTCCTCAGTGTGACTGCTTGGAATCACAATTCTGACTTTAGTAAATGTGACACATCTTCTTGTAGTACACTTTAATAAAACAATACTTTTTCTTCAGTATATTTCATATATTTATGATTTGAATATCTTCACTGTTCATTGTACACTGTACACACATCCTGGTCCTGATCTGCACAAGAGTCACTGGTTTTCCTGTCATTGAGGGAGTTAGCTTCTTTATAATAAGTGTAATGTTGCATCATTAAGACGAATGCCACGAACACTAGAGGTGATGATAAATCAGCAGAGGTCAATAGATCAACCACTGTCCTCCTCTGATCTGCCATGACAGAGATTTGACTGAAATACCCGTCCAGCAGGTCATGGTTGCTCATTTTCATTAAACAATGGTCGCCCATTGGTTGCCAATTCTGTGACTTTCTAACTATATTTAGCAAAAAGCCCCAAAAAAAACAAACAAAAAAAAATATGTTTTTAGGCAAAATGTTGGGTTTATGTTGTTCCCCAACCTGCAAGAATCAACCAAAGACACAAATTACTTTTCTGCAGAAGAGGGAAGCAGAGCCCGACGCGGAGAACCGCTGCCAAACTCTGTCTGGGATCAACTCCGCAGGCTCTCAGTCCCCAACTGCCTTTTATTATGTCAATAGACAAAGAAGTAAACTTTTTCACACATTCATGCAAACAATTGACCAATACACTATCCCACAGGTTGTTCTGGAAGTCTTTCGTTGATATCCCATTGTTAGGACACAAGGATGACCACTCTCAGGATACAGATAAAGATCAAAGCAGCTCGTAATACAGGAATGTGTAAAACATCTCTAACCCTTAAGGAAAAGCACTTAGATAAGCAGATAAGAGTATACCATAAAGGAAAGGAGTCAAGAAAACAACACACAGAATAATAGTATGAAAACATAACCATTCAAATAAAAGAAAATGTACTTAGATAATGTTCCTAACACAAAAAAAGCAGTTTTAGCTCAAATCAGAAGGTCAAACTTTTTAATTGTTGACCAGCCAGAAAACTGAGATAAAGCTTTTGACTGGAATTTTGTTTGTCATCAGGTTCACATTTGTCAAATTTATGGGAGCCCTGTCCGTCTGGTTGGAGGAAAATCAACAAACTCTGCTTTCGCTATGTTGGCACACGCCTGACTTGGTTTGATGCTGAGGTGATTTCCCAAAAAAATTTCTCTTAATTTCTTTTGATATCTTTTATTTCACTGTTCTCAATTAAGAAAACCCAACTCAGAAAATTGCTAAAATAACTATTTACTGTTCTTCACTATTCTCATTGAACACTTCTCTCTGTTTTTCTGTAGAAAAACTGTCAGTCCATGGGAGGAAACCTTGCATCAATATATAACATGGACTACTACACCCAGGTTCAGAAACTGATACGTGACAAAACTGGTAGAGATGATCGAGCATGGCTGGGAGGCTCTGATGCACATTGGGTATTTCTGCCAGTACACTTTATGTTAGTTTTTTGTGTAACACTGACTGAAATGTGTAATCTGCTGAACACTATTCTAGGAGGGATCCTGGTTGTGGAGAGATAATATTCCAGTGACGTTCACATACTGGTGTCGAGGAGAGCCTAATAATTTTGGATTCAACCAGCACTGTTTGGAGATGAACTTTTCAGGTAAAAGAAAATATCGTACGTCTGATTTTTCACTTGATGAATGAACTTGTGGGTGAAAAGCTTATTTACTGTAAATGTAAACATTTTTCTAAACGCTCATCTTAAGTTAAATCAGATGTTGTTATACATTTTGCTCAGTTTTGGGGATAAGTAAACTTCTGAATTTGAAAAAAATTACAGAACTGGTTTCTCAAATGGTTTAGTTTTCTGTCATTTACTGAAAATAAATTATTTTAGTAACTTTAACAGATCTTGAAAAGAGAAGTTTGAACTTATTTAACTTCAGACAAGATAAAAAATTCTGTATGTTTTCCACAGCAGGAGTTTATATTCATTTTTTGTGGCAAGATGATTCATTTCATCATCCTTTCCAATCATTTTCATAATCCTGCATCGATCATCTCTGGGTTTTCACTACGTGATGCTCGACTGATAATTTGTCCTCTTGCTTTTAGGGGGAAAATGCTGGGATGACATGTGGTGTGATGGCTACCTGCCTTCTGTCTGCTTCAAGAAACTCTGAAAACTGTGAAGTTACTAAAAAGGCCTGATGTGTTGAACAGAACCAGTGGAGAATCAGAGCTGCTGTTTCTGTTTTCCTGCCTTTTTGCATCTTCATAGAAAACCCAAAAGATATTTCTGCTTCTCTACTTCCTGTCATTTCTCTCTTTAATGCAACCTAAGCAATGAAGCGACAAGCAAACAGCAGCTGGATTGTCTCTCTGTAATAAAGTCAGACTGAATAAGTTTTAAGAAAGAATCTTCTATGCAAAACTTTCTGCTATTCTTTGGCTGAGCAAAAATAAAACTGAAGAATCAAAACAAGATGGTTAATTATGTGTGTTTGTTGTGCTCTGTTTGCTGAATTATTTCTAACACTATCATATGCTATATTATATAATATCACATTATAACAAGTTCTAGTCAAACCTGATGGTTCTTTGCTCATAAAAGCAGAGAAAAGTTGCTTTTTATCACCTGCTGATGTATTTTAGTCTTTACTGTGTTCTGAAGCTGCTCTCATTGAATCACAAAAAATTTCATTTCAAGTGACATTTTATTGCACTGGAACTAATGAAAGTATGAACGACCTGGTTATGCAATTCTGTGCAATGTTTGTCAGTATCATTTCCTCATGTTGTATCAAGATTAGAAGCTCCATAAATATCTAGTGATTCTGCAGTGAAGGCTACATTGTAGCCTTGCAGAAGAATCATCCGTCCTCTTTGTGTCATGTTGAAATAGAATTTTAAAAGTAGCACAATAGTACACAAGCTAACTTTTACGTTAAGATAAACTTAGATACAAATCCAAACTAAGACAGCTGGTGACTCTCTGAACTTACTTAAATTTCTAATCAGAAAGCAGTCTTATACTCCCTAAGGAGCATTTCAGACAGGGAGTGTATTGGCTATCAGAGCAATAAATTCTTTACTCAGGGTTGAATAGTTCAGACAAACATTAAAAACTATAGAAGTCTGTTACATCATATAATCAAACATATTAATATATTTCTTTAAGCATGAAAATCATGTTTTTAATTAGTTAGTTTTAGATCCAACTTATAGTCAGTATTAAGCAATAGATTTTGTGCGAATTTGTTTAAAATACCAACTGGTTTCTTGTTGAATCATTTTGAGACAGAGATAACGTTCCAGATGCACGCCGTAAATCACAGTCTGGCCAGGAGGCTGGTACGAGAAGAGCTGGGTGTTTCAGTAGGTCTCAGAGGTAATAAAATTAACATTTAAGACAGCCCGCACAAAGGAAAAACACACCTCCTAATGCATATATTCAAATGAGGGGATTACACATTCTTATAAAATGGTTTGTTTTACAGCAGAAGTTCGAATCTCTGTGCTGAGTGAGAGGTTCCCAAAAGATGCATCTTTTGTCTGTTTCTGTTTCCCTTTCAACTCAGTCAATTGTTTCTGTTTTGTCATGTCTTGGACTTTTGATAATCTAGGTGAGATGCTTATTGTAACATTCTTCTTGCATTGAATTCTTTTGGATAAAACTCTGGAAATATCTGAAGTCAGCTGTCGTATGATTGCACTTTCTCACTGCACATATACAGACACAAGAATTCGGGATCAGAGGAATGAATTAACGAGCTAAATCAAGTTATTCCTCTTTTTAATTCTTAAACAACTTCCAAAACCTCAGCATGAGGCAGATTATGAATCTTGGAGGTCTCAAATAGCACTTTTAAATGCAGATCCAAGTCTTGCACCTTTACATGTTACAAGGCGCATTTTGGAAGGTTTACTCCTCCAGCTGCTGATCTAGTGAGGGGTTTGGGGCCTGATACCCTCCCTGAAACATTTTTGCAGGTACTTGATTCTGCATATGCCACTGTTGAGGACGGAGAAGAGTTGTTTGCAAAATTTTTAAACACGCTTCAGGACCATGAGGAACGACCATCTTCCTACTTGCAGAGACTCCAGTTGGCTCTCGGCACAGTGGTGAAACGTGGGGGGATTCCCGCAACTGAAATGGACAAAAATTTTTAAAACAATTTTGTAGAGGTTGCTGGGATAACAGCATGATAAAGAAAAGAGACCAACCACCTCCCTTCTCAGCGCTTTTATCAACACTGAGAACAGAAGAAGACAGACAGTTGGCAAAAGAGATGTTGATGAAAAAGCATATGCCATCAGTTAAGCAAAGTGTGAATGTGCAAGCACACACTACCAGTGCATGCTCATGTGACGATCAATCAAATTCAAGTGTTATTGAAGATTTGAGGAAGCAAATGCTGAAGCTGCAGAGTCAAATGACAGCTTTGCTGTCTAAGGACTCCAAGTCTGTTAAACCAGAAAATCAGCTGAAAAAACAGAAACCAAAACCTGGCAAAGCCAATAGTAGGCCAAAGCCCTGGTTCTGCTTTAAATGTGGACAGGATGGTCACATTGCTCCCAACTGTTCTAGTCAGCCAAATTCCAGCCTGGTTGAAGAAAAATGGCGTCAGCTTAAGCACAAACAGCAGTCCTGGGAGAAAAGTGAGCCATCAGACTAGAAGCAGTTCTTACTAAGGGACAAGTGGGAGCTGCAATCAGTGAATGTCCCCACACAACAGGCTCACTTTCATATTCCCCATTACCTAAAGGATTGGTGGGCACAAGAAGTACTTATTTAAATCCCGCCTCCAGCGCGCATGTTAAAAAACATTTCCAGCTGTTTCACGGTGATTGTGGTCTGCTGTTGGCGTTCTTGGCACAAATGCACCCAAATCTTTGAATACACTGATTTGATTACTGAATTATTGGCACGGCTTACGTGGACTGTCACATTGGATTCTGTCCCAGCTGATAGTGGCTATAAGTACGCCCCACACTCTGAGAAGGTCAGGTTTTTATTTTTTCCAATGGATCAGATCCTCACCCGGATCAGAAGATGGTGAGCTAAGGACAAAAGGACTATGGACTTCATGATCTTGGATTTTAATTTATTTTGAGTCAATTATCTTGTCTCCCTGTACTGGTGCAATTGTCTGTTCTTTTTTATACAAATCGCTTAATATATATACGCCAAAGCTAAAAGGACTATTCTGTTTTTTTTTCTCCATTCACACCCTCAGACTCCTTAAAGGGCCACTCTTCTGACACTGCTTTTGTAGCCACAGTTAGCCTCTTAGCCCGTAACTGTTACAAAAAAGTATTGTTTTATTACAGTGTATTACAAGACGATGTGTCACATTTACTAAGGATCAGAATTGTGATTCCTAGCAGTCACATTGAGTAAATCAGAAAACAATGACAAAAAACACCAGATAATGTTTATCAGTAGAGCTACAATCTGGAGCAGCTGTAGATGATCTAAACTAGAGTTGGTTTGTGTTCTGTGTTTTAGTAACTTAAGCAGGGCTTGATAAGGAAGAAATACTCACTGCAAAAACGGTTCTCGGAACCACTCTGACCATCAGTCACCATGATGGTCAGAGCCATCATGGAGAAAACCATCAGGAACACAGCCGACAACTTCATGATGGAGATGAAGTGATGGGGCAAGCTGAAGGCAAACTGAAATAAAGCATACGTGTTAATAAAATTCAAACATGTTGGTAAAAAAGATGAGCAGAAATTTGTTCAGCGAACCTGATGAAGAGTGATTCGTGTTCTTAGCCAGCAAAGTGTCATGTCCAGTGTTTCCCTGAGTCTCGTTGTGTCCTTGTTGTCCTGTCTCCCGTTGATTCTCCCCAGGTGTGTCCCATCTCCCTGATTAGCCCCTGTGTATTTAGTCCCTCATGTTTCCTATCTTCCTCGTCGGGTCCTTGTCCTTGTGACGTCTTCCTCGTCAGCTCCTAATGCCATGCTGTGTGCACGTTCTCCTCCGTCGTTTTCTCGTAGTTCCTAGTAGTTCCTCGTAGTTCCTAGTAGTTCCCTCATTGTTCAATGTACAATGTTCGAAACACCACTAATGATGACAGATTTAGCAACATTGATACCAATTTGATCAAAGAAATTCATATTTCAATACAAAACACATTCACCAAACATTCACAATATCAGACTCCTGGCTAGCTCACCAATTTATTACGGGCTAAGAGGCTAACTGCTGCTACAAAAGCAGCATCATAAGAGTGGCCCTTCAAGGAGTCTGAGGGTGTGAATGGGAAAAGAAAAAAACAAAAAACAGAAACAGTTCTTTTAGCTTTGGTGTATATATATTAAGTGATTTGTATAAAAACAGACAATTGCACCAGTACAGGGAGACAAGATAATTGACTCAAAATAAGTTAGTATCCAAAATCATGTAGTCCATAGTCCTTTTGTCCTTAGCTCACCATCTTCAGATCCGGGTGAGGATCTGATCCATTGAAAAAAATAAAAACCTGACCTTCTCAGAGTGTGGGGCGTACTTATAGCCACTATCAGCTGGGACAGAATCCAATGTAACGGTCCACGTAAGCCGTGCCAATAATTCAGTAATCAAATCAGTGTATTCAAAGATTTGGGTGCATTTGTGCAAAGAACGCCAACAGCAGACCACAATCACCGTGAAACAGCTGGGAATGTTTTTTAAACTTCGCGCTGGAGGCGGGCTTTAAATAAGCTGGAGAGTTTGGGACAATACAGGAAGTGGGCCCGCAAAAATAAATCTTAGGTTAATTATGGGTTACATTTTTCTTCAGTATATTTCATATATTTATGATTTGAATGTCTTCACTGTTCATTGTACACTGTACACACATCCTGGTTCTGATATGCACAAGAGTCACTGGTTTTCCTGTCATTGAGGGAGTTAGCTTCTTTAATAAGTGTAATGTTGCATCATTAAGACGAATGCCAGGAACACTAGAGGAGATGATAAATCAGCAGAGGTCAATAGATCAACCACTGTCCTCCTCTGATCTGCCATGACAGAGATTTGACTGAAATACGCGTCCAGCAGGTCATGGTTGCTCATTTTCATTAAACAATGGTCGCCCATCTGTTGCCAATTCTGTGACTTTCTAACAATATTTAGCAAAAAAAACAAACAAATAAACATCTGTTTTCAGACAAAATGTTGGGTTTATGTTGTTCCCCAACCTGCAAGAATCAACCAAAGACACAAATTACTTTTCTGCAGAAGAGGGGAGCAGAGCCCGACGCGGATGTGTAAAACAGAACCAGTGGAGGATCAGAGCTGCTGTTTCTGTTTTTCTGCCTTTTTGCATCTTCATAGAAAACCCAAAAGATATTTCTGCTTCTCTACTTTCTATCATTTCTGTCTTTAATGCAACCTAAGCAATGAAGCGACAAGCAAACAGCAGCTGGTATGTCTCTATGTAATTGTCAGGTTCTGTGTTTAATTCTGAGTTTCTGTGTCTTGAGTTCTCCTCGTTGTCCTGTCTTCCCTTGATTGTTCCCAGGTGTGTCTTGTTCTCCTGATTACCCTCTGTGTATTTAGTCCCTCCTGTGTCCTTTGTTCCTGGTCGGGTCCTTGTCAGATTGTCCTATGGTCGTTGTCTAACTGTTGTCGCTCGTTTGTTTTGTGCTGCCCTTAAGACCAGTTGCTACCGGTGTGAGCCCTGGCTTCCGCTCAGCCGTGCTGCCTGGCCGTGGACTCTGTTGACTGTGTTTTTTGTGGACTTGTTTTCATTAAATTACTCACCATTCACCTACCTGGGTCTCCAGCGTCTGCCTCACCACCTCAAACACCACCACTTCATGACAGAAGGACCCGACCAACGACAAGGTGAGGCTCGCTGAATAACATCATGGACCCAGAGGGTTTAGAGGAGCTACTCCGAACGATATGCGAGTATGAGGAGTCAAGGAGTACGTCCACTTTGGCCCTGAGACGGCCTGGGTTCGCCATACGCCTGGGGCTTTTGTTGGACTACTGGGTTCCACGTCTTCAGCATCCAGTCCTGGTGGAGTTGCAGCGGGAGGCAGAGGAGGTGCGCCGGACAGCCTTCTCTGCCATGACTGCAAAACCTCGGTCTTCCAAGCCGGACATCCGCTCCGCCAGCCCAGCCCCAGCTCCAGCCTCGGTTCCTCGTGCCGCTCCGCCGGCTGTTGTTCTTGCGCCGCCGGATTCCGCTCCGGCTTCGGCTCCTGCTCCGCCGGATTCCGCTCCGGCTGCTGTTCCTGCGCCGCCGGATTCCGCTCCGGCTGCTGTTCCTGCGCCGCCGGACTCCGCTCCGGCTTCGGCTCCTGCTCCGCCGGACTCCGCTCCGGCTTCGGCTCCTGCTCCGCCGGACTCCGCTCCGGCTTCGGCTCCTGCTCCGCCGGACTCCGCTGGACTCCGCTCCGGCTGCTGTTCCTGCGCCGCCGGACTCCGCTCCGGCTGCTGTTCCTGCTCCGCCGGACTCCGCTCCGGCTTCGGCTCCTGCTCCGCCGGACTCCGCTCCGGCTTCGGCTCCTGCTCCGCCGGACTCCGCTCCGGCTTCGGCTCCTGCTCCGCCGGACTCCGCCGGACTCCGCTGGACTCCGCTCCGGCTGCTGTTCCTGCGCCGCCGGACTCCGCTCCGACTTCGGCTCCTGCGCCGCCGGACTCCGCTCCGACTTCGGCTCCTGCGCCGCCGGACTCCGCTCCGACTTCGGCTCCTGCTACGCCGGATTCCGCTCCGACTTCGGCTCCTGCTACGCCGGATTCCGCTCCGGCTCCTGCTACGCCGGATTCCGCTCCGGCTCCTGCTACACCGGATTCCGCTCCGGCCTCCGTGGACTCTGCTCCTCGTGCCGCTGCTCCGGCAGCCTCTGTCCCTAGTGCTCCTTCCGAGATCCCTAGTGTTCCTCCTGTGCCTTCTAGCGCTCCTCCTGTGCCCCCTAGCGCTCCTCCAGTGTCCCCTAGCGCTCCTCCAGTGTCCCCTAGCGCTCCTCCAGTGTCCCCTAGCGCTCCTCCAGTGTCCCCTAGCGCTCCTCCAGTGTCCCCTAGCGCTCCTCCAGTGTCCCCTAGCGCTCCTCCAGTGTCCCCTAGCGCTCCTCCAGTGTCCCCTAGCGCTCCTCCAGTGTCCCCTAGCGCTCCTCCAGTGTCCCCTAGCGCTCCTCCAGTGTCCCCTAGCGCTCCTCCAGAGCCCCCTAGCGTCCCTCCAGAGCCTCCTAGCGTCCCTCCAGAGCCCCCTAGTGTCCCTTGGCGCCGAGGACGCCCTCCGGACCTTCCTCGACGCCTCTGCCCACTTTCTGTTTAGTTATGGACTCTTGGCCCCTCCTTTTGTTTCCGCCCACCTTTTGTGGGTAGTTTTTTGTTTTCTGGACTCTGGCCCTCATTCCATCGCCCCTCCGCCCACCCTGGTTTTTGGGTTTTGGATTTTGTTTTTGGGCGTCTGGTAGCTGCCCTTTAAGGGGGGGGGGGTACTGTCAGGTTCTGTGTTTTTCTGTGTTTAATTCTGAGTTTCTGTGTCCTGAGTTACAATATAAATATCACAAAAACAGAGAAAAGTTGCTTTATATCACCTGCTGATGTATTTTAGTCTTTACTTTGTTCTGGAGCTGCTCTCAATGAATCACCAAAAATTTCATTTCAAGTGACATTTTATTGCACTGGAACTAATGAAAGTATGAACGACCTGGTTATGCAATTCTGTGCAATGTTTGTCAGTATCATTTCCTCATGTTGTATCAAGACTAGAAGCTCTATAAATATCTAGTGATTCTGCAGTGAAGGCTACATTGTAGCCTTGTAGAAGAATCATCCGTCCACTTTGCTGGCTAAGAACACGGATCACTCTTCATCAGGTTTGCTGAACAAATTTCTGCTCATCTTTTTTACCAACATGTTTGAATTTTATTAACACGTATGCTTTATTTCAGTTTGCCTTCAGCTTGCCCCATCACTTCATCTCCATCATGAAGTTGTTGGCTGTGTTCCTGATGGTTTTCTCCATGATGGCTCTGACCATCATGGTGACTGATGGTCAGAGTGGTTCCGAGAACCATTATTGCAGTGAGTATTTATTCCTTATCAAGCCCTGCTTAAGTTACTAAAACACAGAAACACAAACCAACTCTAGTTTAGATTATCTACAGCTGCTCCAGATTGTAGCTCTACTGATAAACATTATCTGGTTTTTTTTGTCATTGTTTTCTGATTTCCTCAATGTGACTGCTTGGAATCACAATTCTGACTTTAGTAAATGTGACACATCTTCTTGTAGTACACTTTAATAAAACAATACTTTTTCTTCAGTATATTTTATATATTTATGATTTGAATGTCTTCACTGTTCATTGTACACTGTACACACATCCTGGTTCTGATCTGCACAAGAGTCACTGGTTTTCCTGTCATTGAGGGAGTTAGCTTCTTTATAATAACTGTAATGTTGCATCATGAAGACGAATGCCATGAACACTAGAGGTGCTGATAAATCAGCAGAGGTCAATAGATCAACCACTGTCCTCCTCTGATCTGCCATGACAGAGATTTGACTGAAATACCCGTCCAGCAGGTCATGGTTGCTCATTTTCATTAAACAATGGTCACCCATCTGTTGCCAATTCTGTGACTTTCTAACTATATTTAGCAAAAATACAAAAACAAAAAAAAACCCATCTGTTTTTAGACAAAATGTTGGGTTTATGTTGTTCCCCAACCTGCAAGAATCAACCAAAGACACAAATTACTTTTCTGCAGAAGAGGGGAGCAGAGCCCGACCCGGAGAACCGCTGCCAAACTCTGTCTGGGATCAACTCCGCAGGCTCTCAGTCCCCAACTGCCTTTTATTATGTCAATAGACAAAGAAGTAAACTTTTTCACACATTCATGCAAACAATTGACCAATACACTATCCCACAGGATGTTCTGGAAGTCTTCCTATGATATCCCATTGTTAGGACACAAGGATGACCACTCTCAGGATACAGATAAAGATCAAAGCAGCTCGTAATACAGGAATGTGTAAAACATCTCTAACCCTTAAGGAAAAGCACTTAGATAAGCAGATAAGAGTATACCATAAAGGAAAGGAGTCAAGAAAACAACACACAGAATAATAATATGAAAACATAACCATTCAAATCAAAGAAAATGTATTTAGATAATGTTCCTAACACAAAAAAAGCTGTTTTAGCTAAAATCAGAAGGTCAAACTTTTTAATTGTTGATCAGCCAGAAAACTGAGATAAAGCTTTTGACTGGAATTTTGTTTGTCATCAGGTCCACTTTTGTCACATATATGGGAGCCCTGTCCGCATGGTTGGAGGAAAATCACCCCTCACTGCTTTCGCTATGTTGGCACAAGCATGTCTTGGTATGATGCTGAGGTGATTTCCCAAAAAGATTTCTCTAAAATAACTATTTACTGTTCTTCACTATTCTCATTAAACACTCCTGTCTGTTTTTCTGTAGAAAAACTGTCGGTCCATGGGAGCAAACCTTGCATCAATTCATGACATGTACTACTATGGCGAGGTTCAGAGACTGATACGTGACAAAACTGGTAGAGCTGATCCAGCATGGCTGGGAGGCTCTGACGAACACCGGGTATTTCTGCCAGTACACTTTATGTTAGTTTTTTGAGTAACACTGACTGAAATGTGTAATCTGCTGAACACTATTCTAGGAGGGATTCTGGTGGTGGAGCGATGAATTTCCTGTGAGCTTCACAAACTGGTGTCCAGGAGAGCCTAATAATGGTTTTTTTCGTGACCAGCACTGTATGCAGATGAACTTTTCAGGTAAAAGAAAATATCGTACGTCTGATTTTTCACTTGATGAATGGACTTGTGGGTGAAAAGCTTATTTACTGTAAATGTAAACATTTTTCTAAACGCTCATCTTAAGTTAAATCTGATGTTTTCATACATTTTGCTCAGTTTGGGGATAAGTAAACTTCTGAATTTGAAGAAAATTACAGAACTGGTTTCTCAAATGGTTTAGTTTTCTGGCATTTACTGAAAATAAATTATTCTAGTAACTTTAACTGACCTAAAAAAGAGAAGGTCAGACTTATTTAACTTCAGACAAGATAAAAATTCTGTATGTTTTCCACAGCAGGAGTTTATATTCATTTTTTGTGGCAAGATGATTCATTTCATCATCCTTTCCAATCATTTTCATAATCCTGCATCTATCATCTCAGGGTTTTCAGTACGTGATGCTTGACTGATAATTTGTCCTCTTGCTTTTAGATGAAAAATGCTGGGATGACATATGGTGTGGTACCCACCTGCCTTTTGTCTGCATGAAGAAACTCTGAAAACTGTGAAGTTACTAAAAAGGCCTGATGTGTAAAACAGAACCAGTGGAGAATCAGAGCTGCTGTTTCTGTTTTCCTGCCTTTTTGCATCTTCATAGAAAACCCAAAAGATATTTCTGCTTCTCTACTTTCTTTAATTTCTCTCTTTAATGCAACCTAAGCAATGAAGCGACAAGCAAACAGCAGCTGGATTGTCTCTGTAATAAAGTCAGACTGAATGAGTTTTAAGAAAGAATCTTCTATGCAAAACTTTCTTCAATTCTTTGGCTGAGCAAAAATAAAACTTTGAAGAATCAAAACAAGATGGTTTATTATGTGTGTTGTGCTCTGTTTGCTGAATTATTTCTAACACTATCATATGCTAGTTATTACAATATAAATATCACATTATAACAAGTTCTAGTCAAACCTGATGGTTCTTTGCTCATAAAAGCAGAGAAAAGTTGCTTTTTATCACCTGCTGATGTATTTTAGTCTTTACTGTGTTCTGAAGCTGCTCTCATTGAATCACCAAAATTTCATTTCAAGTGACATTTTATTGCACTGGAACTAATGAAAGTATGAACGACCTGGTTATGCAATTCTGTGCAATGTTTGTCAGTATCATTTCCTCATGTTGTATCAAGATTAGAAGCTCTATAAATATCTAGTGATTCTGCAGTGAAGGCTACATTGTAGCCTTGTAGAAGAATCATCCGTCCTCTTTGCTGGCTAAGAACACGGATCACTCTTCATCAGGTTTGCTGAACAAATTTCTGCTCATCTTTTTTAACAACATGTTTGAATTTTATTACACGTATGCTTTATTTCAGTTTGCCTTCAACTTGCCCCATCACTTCATCTCCATCATGAAGTTGTCGGCTGTGTTCCTGATGGTTTTCTCCATGATGGCCCTGACCAGTGGTTCCGAGAACCGTTTTTGCAGTGAGTATTTCTTCCTGATCAAGCCCTGCTTAAGTTACTAAAACACAGAAACACAAACCAACTCTAGTTTAGATTATCTACAGCTGCTCCAGATTGTAGCTCTACTGATAAACATTATCTGGTGCTTTTTGTCATTGTTTTCTGATTTCCTCAGTGTGACTGCTTGGAATCACAATTCTGACTTTAGTAAATGTGACACATCTTGTAGTACACTTTAATAAAACAATACTTTTTCTTCAGTATATTTCATATATTTATGATTTGAATGTCTTCACTGTTCATTGTACACTGTACACACATCCTGGTTCTGATTTGCACAAGAGTCACTGGTTTTCCTGTCATTGAGGGAGTTAGCTTCTTTATAATAAGTGTAATGTTGCATCATTAAGACGAATGCCACGAACACTAGAGGTGCTGATAAATCAGCAGAGGTCAATAGATCAACCAGTGTCCTCCTCTGATCTGCCATGACAGAGATTTGACTGAAATACCCATCCAGCAGGTCATGGTTGCTCATTATCATTAAACAATGGTCGCCCAAAAAAAAAAAAAAAAAAAAAAAAAACCCATCTTTTTAGACAAAATGTTGGGTTTATGTTGCTCCCCAACCTGCAAGAATCAACCAAAGACACAAATTACTTTTCTGCAGAAGAGGGGAGCAGAGCCCGACGCGGAGAACCGCTGCCAAACTCTGTCTTGGATCAACTCCGCAGGCTCTCAGTCCCCAACTGCCTTTTATTATGTCAATAGACAAAGAAGTAGACTTTTTCACACATTCATGCAAACAATTGACCAATAATACACTATCCCACAGGATGTTCTGGAAGTCTTCCTTTGATATCCCATTGTTAGGACACAAGGATGACCACTCTCAGGATACAGATAAAGATCAAAGCAGCTCGTAATACAGGAATGTGTAAAACATCTCTAACCCTTAAGGAAAAGCACTTAGATAAGCAGTTAAGAGTATACCATAAAGGAAAGGAGTCAAGAAAACAACACACAGAATAATATGAAAACATAACCATTCAAATAAAAGAAAATGTACTTAGATAATGTTCCTAACACAAAAAAAGCTGTTTTAGCTCAAATCAGAAGGTCAAACTTTTTAATTGTTGATCAGCCAGAAAACTGAGATAAAGCTTTTGACTGGATTTTGTTTGTCATCAGGTCCACTTTTGTCACATTTTTGGGAGCCCTGTCCGCATGGTTGGAGGAAAATCACCCCTCACTGCTTTCGCTATGTTAGCACACGCACTTGGGCTGATGCTGAGGTGATTTCCCAAAAAGATTTATCTAAAATAACTAAAAAAATCACTATTGTCATTAAACACTTCTGTCCGTTTTTCTGTAGAAAAACTGTCGGTCCATGGGAGGAAACCTTGCATCAATTTATAGCATGTACTACTACAGCGAGGTTCAGAGACTGATACGTGACAAAACTGGTAGAGCTGATCCAGCATGGCTGGGAGGCTCTGATACACAGCAGGTATTTCTGCCAGTACACTTTATGTCAGTATTTTGTGTAACACTGACTGAAATGTATAATCTGCTGAACACTATTCTAGGAGGGAACCTGGTGGTGGGCGATGAATTTCCTGTGAGCTTCACATTCTGGTGTCGAGGAGAGCCTAATAATCTTGGACGCAACCAGCACTGTATGCAGATGAACATGTCAGGTAAAAGAAAATATTGTACGTCTGATTTTCACTTGATGAATGGACTTGTGGGTGAAAAGCTTATTTACTCTCCATGTAAACATTTCTAAACGCTCATCTTAAGTTAAATCAGATGTTGTTATACATTTTGCTCAGTTTTGGGGATAAGTAAACTTCTGAATTTGAAGAAAATTACAGAACTGGTTTCTCAAATGGTTTAGTTTTCTGGCATTTACTAAAAATAAATTATTCTAGTAACTTTAACTGACCTAAAAGAGAAGTTTGAACTTATTTAACTTCAGACAGTAGGAGTTTACATTCATTTTTTGTGGGAAGATGATTCATTTCATCATCCTTTCCAATCATTTTCGTAATCCTGCATCGATCATCTCAGGGTTTTCACTACGTGATGCTTGACTGATAATTTGTCCTCTTGCTTTTAGTTGAAAAATGCTGGGATGACGTGGAGTGTAATCGCAAGCTGCCTTCTGTCTGCTTCAAGAAACTCTGAAAACTGTGAAGTTACTAAAAAGGCCTGATGTGTTGAACAGAACCAGTGGAGGATCAGAGCTGCTGTTTCTGTTTTTCTGCCTTTTTGCATCTTCATAGAAAACCCAAAAGATATTTTCTGCTTCTCTACTTCCTGTCATTTCTCTCTTTAATGCAACCTAAGCAATGAAGTGACAAGCAAACAGCAGCTGGATTGTCTCTGTAATAAAGTCAGACTCAATGAGTTATAAGAAAGAATCTTCTATGCAAAACTTTCTGCTATTCTTTGGCTGAGCAAAAATAAAACTTTGAAGAATCAAAACAAGATGGTTTATTATGTGTGTTTGTTGTGCTTGTGTTGCCGCTCCCCCCTCCTTCACTCTCTATTCTCTCAGTCACTACTTCCTCTTCTGAGAGGGGAGATGTGCTACCAGCTCTCCATCTAACGGGTAAATTGAGTTTCCTAAATCTGCTGGGATTTACCCTATCCAGGACTGAAGTAAACTCTGTTTAAATCTGGTTTCCAGAAAGGATTCGCCTGACTACTAACGGCCTACATCCAGATGTGCCACCCTTCTTCCCCTGTGAATTAGCCAGACTGAGCAGCATACAGCCAACTAGTTCCAAGGAGCACATCTGTTAACGGTCGCTCCTTCTCTTTTTGCAACTTGCACTTGTTACTGAATCAGGTTGGTTTTAGTGACTCGGGTGAGTCCCAAGGATGTTGTTTTAAATTGGGCTAAAGCAACCTAGAAAACTTACCTAGTTTTCTTCCCCAGAATCAAACATCACAGCTATTTTACTACCATCAAAGAACTTGATGGGACTCATTAATTGAATGTCCACAACATCTTTTAGATTTTCTTTATGCGAAATATTTTATTGGTAAAGCAATTTTGCAAGGGTCAGTACAGCTTAATTAAGTAGCAGAAATAATCAAATAAGTAAAATCAATAATCCAGCCTGTCTTTCCCTAACGCTGATACTAATAACTAAAAAGGGAACTTTTTAGAGAGTGGACGTAGTTCGGTGTCTCGAACCCCAGAACTGGATCGATGATGAAGAAGGTGTTGCAGCAGGAGGAAGAGGAGGTTGATTGATGAAGGCAGGGATCCCTGTTGGTCTGATGAGCTGTCATCTCTGCATGGATGATGAGGTCACACAGGACTTGGATCTTTGTCTTTGTCTTGATCTTCATCTTTGTCCTTTGGGTCTGAACCCAGCCGATGAGAGAAGTCCAATTTGAAGCCACATGTTGCGGGGCTCATGGGTTGGTCCCGTGCACAGGACAGTCTTCGGCTCTGTGGCCCCGGCTCTTCTTCAGCTGCAGAGTTCTTTGTCCGTCTCGGTCTTGACTCGAAGCTGCCTGGAGGATCCAACCAAAGATTCCTCTTTTGCTCTCCCCTTATATAGGGTTTATACCGCTTTCAGTGCATTTTCATTGGCTAACACTGTTGCTGTGCTTTATTGGGTAACATGTTTGGACAGATAAACTCATATCCATCACTGTCTTAGAGACATTTTGTCCTGATTTCTTGGCTAATGTCTCAGGGTTGCTCAATGTTCCTCCCATGTCTCTGACACATGTAAGCTGTTCAACAAGCTATCTCCTAATAAGGTCTTGGTCATCTCTGCTTTCCGTTTGTCCCCATTTTACCCTGACCTTTCACCTACTATCTACCTCCAACACATCATCAGTGATCTTTAATAGCAGTTACATGTTTTACACCATTTCAAGTTCAATGTTAAAATCACATTCATAAACCTTTAGTTTCTTTTTAGCATTCATTTATAATTTTATGATAACCACAACTTATTAGTCTTTCCTTATTTGATACCAAAGTTACAGTTACTTGTCTTACTTGTACGTTTTTCCACAAGTTACAGTAAGTATTGTTATAAGTAAACCAATATTAATATAAATACTTTACTTTAAATCTTATCTAATTACTCAAAATGTTTAGATTTTATCCTTTAAAATTTTTATGCTTTTAAACAAGGAATAGTCTCAGCTATTTTTATACAGCTACAAGCTGGAAACTTACTTCCTCTTTTTCCAGGAAACCTGCTCTTCCTGTCTCATCTCTCTCTCGGACTATGATTTCTTATGATTAGATAGAAATAAATAAGTATAATTAAAGCTAAGTTTGCAGGAGACAAAACAACACACACAACCAGATTTATTTTATTGCAGTCTGGTTCTACTGTTGGATCTAGATGTGATTTGTGTGACTTATTTTAAAGGTAACTTTATTTGTGGTTACTGTTAACTAAAATCTCCAGCATGGGGAAGTGGGATTATCTCGGATTTTCTTGACACCCCCTCTTCGAGGTCAGACCTTCCCATGCTGGGGGTCCAACACCTTCTGCAGATTCTTCATCCTCAATTGTCCCAAAGGACTTAATAAAGTCATCAAAACTCCACTTCTCTTGACATGCTCTGTTTCCTGAATTATTTTTCTAACACTATCATATGCTAGTTATTACAATATAAATATCACATTATAACAAGTTCTAGTCAAACCTGATGGTTCTTTGCTCATAAAAACAGAGAAAAGTTGCTTTATATCACCTGCTGATGTATTTTAGTCTTTACTTTGTTCTGGAGCTGCTCTCATTGAATCACCAAAAATTTCATTTTAAGTGACATGTTATTGCACTGGAACTAATGAAAGTATGAACGACCTGGTTATGCAATTCTGTGCAATATTTGTCAGTATCATTTCCTCATGTTGTATCAAGATTAGAAGCTCTATAAATATCTAGTGATTCTGCAGTGAAAGCTACATTGTAGCCTTGTAGAAGAATGATTCGTCCTCTTTGTGTCACAATGCTGTGTTTTTTTAAGGTGTGGAAGGAATGAGTGATCGCAGAAACCCCAGGTATGAGGTTGAGGGGTTTAATAAATAATAATCCAAAACACAAACAGAAGTGGGACAGTCCAAAATAACAAACAGTCCAAAAATAAACAATGAATAATCCAAAAATAAAATAGTTGCAGAGTTCGCGGCCTGGCAGCAAGTTAGAGCGTAGCTGATGCTCACCCCGGTAGCAACAGGTCATACAGGTGGAGAAACAGGTAGGCATAACTACATTGAATAATGAGGGAACTACTAGGAACTAGGAGGAACTACGAGAAAACGACGGAGGAGAACGTGCACACAGCACAGCATCAGGAGCTGACGAGGAAGACGTCACAACGACAAGGACCCGACGAGGAAGATAGGAAACATGAGGGACTAAATACACAGGGGCTAATCAGGGAGATGGACACACATGGGAGATTTAATGGGGAGACAGGACAACAAGGAGACAACGAGACTCAGGGAAACACTGGACATGACATTTTGCTGGCTAAGAACACGAATCACTCTTCATCAGGTTCGCTGAACAAATTTCTGCTCATCTTTTTTAACATGTTTGAATTTTATTAACACGTATGCTTTATTTCAGTTTGCCTTCAGCTTGCCCCATCACTTGATCTCCATCATGAAGTTGTCGGCTGTGTTCCTGATGGTTTTCTCCATGATGGCTTTTACCAGTGGTTTCAGGTACATCTATTTTAGTGAGTATTTATTCCTTATCAACTTTATGTTTAGTTTTTGTGTAACACTGACTGAAATGTGTAATCTGCTGAACACTATTCTAGGAGGGATCCTGGTGGTGGAGCGATGAATTTCCTGTGACGTTCACATACTGGTGTCAAGGAGAGCCTAATAATGGTGGATTCAACCAGCACTGTATGCAGAGGAACATGTCAGGTAAAGAAAATATCGCACGTCTGATTTTTCACTTGATGAATGGACTTGTGGGTGAAAAGCTTATTTACTCTCCATGTAAACATTTTTGTAAACGCTCATCATAGACTTAGACTTCCTTTATTGTCATTGTACAAAAAAACACAAGGTGAGTCTTGACAACAAATGTCGTTACTTGGCTACCAGTGTAACAGAGCTAACACCTTATGCTACACAATAAATAAATAAATACAATACAAGTGCCATAGAATACACAGGTTCAGTGTTGTGAACAAAACTAAACTAAAGTGCATGTATTGACCATGTCCATGGGGGGGAGGGTGATTTGGTTTGTGAGTGTGTGTGTGTGGAGGGGTGTTACGTGGCGTTAAGCAGTGTGATGGTCCAGGGGAAAAAACTGTTCAGTAGTCTGGTTGTTCTGCACAAGATGCTGTGGAACCTTCTTCCAGACGCCAGGGGGGAAAACAGTCCATGGTTGGGGTGGGTGGGGTCGGAGAGGATCTGGTGAGCGCGAGATAGGCAGCGCCTCTCTGCGATGTCCTTGATGCAGGGGAGCAGAGCCCCCGTGATCTTCTCCCCTGTCCTCACCACCCTCTGTAGAGACTTCCAGTCAGAGGCCCTGCAGCTCCCAGACCAGATGGAGATGTAGCTGGTCAGTAGGCTCTCAATGGTCCCTTTGTAGAAGGTCTGAAGGATGGGGGGCGGGAGGGATGCTCTCTTCATCCGACGCAGGAAGTGCATGCGCTGCTGGCCCTTCTTCACCAGTGAGGAGATGTGGGGAGACCAGCTGAGGTCTTCGTTGATGTGCACCCCCAGGAACTTGGTGCTGCTGACGACCTCCACAACTGAGTATTTGATGAGGAGTGGTGTGTGGGTGGGTCTGGATTTCCTGAAGTCTACGATGATCTCCTTGGTCCACCAGATGCCGCACCTCATCCCTATAGGCCGTCTCGTTGTTGTCCCGGATGAGGCCCACCACTGTGGTGTCGTCCGCGTACTTCAGGATGTGGTTGGATCTGAAGTGTGGATGGCAGTCGTGGGTCAACAGCAGGGGGCTCAGGACACAGCCCTGAGGGGTGCCGGTGTTCAGGGTGATGACATTGGAGGTGTTGTTCTCCAATCTGACAGCCTGGGTTCTGTCAGTGAGGAAGTCCAGCGGCCAGTTGCAGAGGGGGGTGTTAATTCCTAAGGGGCCCAGTTTGCCCACCAGGTCTTGGGGGATGATCGTGTTGAACGCTGAGCTGAGGTCCAGGAACAGCATCCGCATGTGGGTGTTCTTCTCCTCCAGATGCTCCAGGCTCAGGTGGAGAGCAGTGGAGACTGCATCCTCAGCACTGCGCTTGGACTGGTATGCAAACTGGAAAGGGTCGTGTGATGGGGGGAGCGTGGAGATGATGTGGTCCTTAACAAGTCTTTCGAAGCACTTCATGATGGTGGATGTCAGTGCGACGGAGCGGAAGTCGTTAAGGCATGTGATGGTGGTTGACTTCGGGACCGGAACGACAGTGGCAGACTTGAAGCACCGTGGGACGACAGCCTGGTCCAGGAACGTGTTGAAGATGTCCGTGAGCATGTGGGCCAGCTGGTCCGAGCATTCCTTGATTAGCAGACCTGGAATGTTGTCCGGACCTGCAGCTTTCCGCGCGTTGACCTTCCTCAGAACCTTCCGCACTGCTGATAATTCTAGTCTGAGCGCCTGTTCATCGGGGTGTGGTGTCGCTTTCCTCGCAGGGTTGTTGTTCAGCTCCTCAAATCTTCTGAAGAAGTTGTTGAGCTCGTTGAGGAAGCCAGTGTCGGTCTGGCAGGATGGGGGTGTGGGTTTGTAGTCTGTGATAGACTGGATGCCCTGCCACAGTTTCCTGGTGTTGTTGGAGTCCTGGAAGAGACCCTGGATTTTCCGGCTGTGGGCTCGCTTCGCGTCTCTGATGGCCCGGTTCAGGTTGACCATTGCAGACCTGAGAGCCGCAGCATCACCAGATCTGAAAGCAGCATTGCATTCTCTCAGGTTCGTTCCCTCCTCCTTGGTCATCCAAGGTTTCTTGTTTGCCCGAGTGACTATTGTTTTTGTTGCTGTCTCTTTGCACCAACTGATATAGTCAGATACAGATGCAGCATACTCCTCCACGTTGGTGCGCTGGTTGTCTGTTGCTGCCTCCTTGAAGATGCCCCATTCAGTGCACTCAAAACAGTCCTGCAGTGCAGACATGGCACCCTCAGGCCATACTCTCACCTTCTTCACTGCAGGTCTCTCTCTGATGAGCCGGGCTGGTATGCAGGAATTAGCATGACAGAGAGATGGTCTGAGGAGCCCAGGTGGGGGCGGGGGGCTGCTCTGTAGGCCTTCTTTATGTTGGTGTAGACAAGGTCCAGAGTGTTCTCCCCTCTAGTAGCAAAGTCCACATGTTGGTGAAAGTTTGGAAGCACGGTCTTCATGTTGGCCTGGCCCTGGTTGAAGTCGCCAGCAACAATAAAAACACCTTCCGGTTGTGTGGCTTGCCGTCCGTGATGTTGTTGTAGAGAACACTGAGGGCTTGCTTTGTGTTGGCGCTGGGTGGGATGTAAACAGCAACAATGGTGACGCTGGTGAATTCACGTGGCAGATAAAAGGGTCGACATCTCAGTCAGGAGTTCAATGTCTATAGAGCAGTGACTGGAGACCCTGGAAGCGTTGTTACACCAGCTGTTCGTCGTGTAGATGCAAACGCCACCCCCTCGGGTTTTACCTGTGAGAGCACCGCTTCTGTCGGCTCTGAATGTTGTTAGCCGTCCAGGCTAACTGCGCTATCTGGGACCGATGCACTGAGCCATGTTTCAGTGAGGACAATGGCACAGCAGTTTCTTGTTTCCAGCTTGAGATAGTCCATTGATTAAGTTAAATCCGATGTTTTCATACATTTTGCTCAGTTTTGGGGATAAGAGAAACTTCTGAATTTGAAGAAAATTACAGAACTGGTTTCTCAAATGGTTTAGTTTTCTGGCATTTACTAAAAATAAATTATTCTAGTAACTTTAACTGACCTAAAAAAGAGAAGTTTGAACTTATTTAACTTCAGACAAGATAAAAATTCTGTATGTTTTCCACAGCAGGAGTTTATATTCATTTTTTGTGGCAAGATGATTCATTTCATCATCCTTTCCAATCGTTTTCATAATCCTGCATCGATCATCTCAGGGTTTTCACTACGTGATGCTCGACTGATAATTTGTCCTCTTGCTTTTAGCTGAAAAATGCTGGGATGACCTGGAGCGTCATTACAAGCTGCCTTCTGTCTGCATCAAGAAAAGCAGACTGTGAAGTTACTAAAAAGGCCTGATGTGTTGAACAGAACCAGTGGAGGATCAGAGCTGCTGTTTATATTTTTCTGCCTTTTTGCATCTTCATAGAAGACCCTAAAGATATTTCTGCTTCTCTACTTTCTATAACTTCTTTCTTTAATGCAACCTAAGCAATGAAGCGAAAAGCAAACAGCAGCTGGATTGTCTCTCTGTAATAAAGTCAGACTGAATAAGTTTTAAGAAAGAATCTTCTATGCAAAACTTTCTTCTATTCTTTGGCTGAGCAAAAATAAAACTTTGAAGAATCAAAACAAGACGGTTTATTATGTGTATTTGTTGTGCTCTGTTTCCTGAATTATTTCTAACACTGCTCTCATTGAATCACCAAAAATTTCATTTCAAGTGACATTTTATTGCACTGGAACTAATGAAAGTATGAATGACCTGGTTATGCAATTCTGTGCAATGTTTGTCAGTATCATTTCCTCATGTTGTATCAAGACTAGAAGCTCTATAAATATCTAGTGATTCTGCAGTGAAGGCTACATTGTAGCCTTGTAGAAGAATCATCCGTCCTCTTTGCTGGCTAAGAACACGGATCACTCTTCATCAGGTTCGCTGAACAAATTTCTGCTCATCTTTTTTACCAACATGTTTGAATTTTATTAACACGTATGCTTTATTTCAGTTTGCCTTCAGCTTGCCCCATCACTTCATCTCCATCATGAAGTTGTCGGCTGTGTTCCTGATGGTTTTCTCCATGATGGCTCTGACCAGTGGTATCCAGTACCTTTTTTGCAGTGAGTATTTATTCCTTATCAAGCCCTGCTTAAGTTACTAAAACACAGAAACACAAACCAACTCTAGTTTAGATTATCTACAGCTGCTCCAGATTGTAGCTCTACTGATAAACATTATCTGGTGTTTTTTGTCATTGTTTTCTGATTTACTCAATGTGACTGCTTGGAATCACAATTCTGATCCTTAGTAAATGTTCTTGTAGTACACTTTAATAAAACAATACTTTTTCTTCAGTATATTTCATATATTTATGATTTGAATGTCTTCACTGTTCATTGTACACTGTACACACATCCTGGTTCTGATCTGCACAAGAGTCACTGGTTTTCCTGTCATTGAGGGAGTTAGCTTCTTTATAATAAGTGTAATGTTGCATCATTAAGACGAATGCCACGAACACTAGAGGTGCTGATAAATCAGCAGAGGTCAATAGATCAACCACTGTCCTCCTCTGATCTGCCATGACAGAGATTTGACTGAAATACCCGTCCAGCATGTCATGGTTGCTCATTATCATTAAACAATGGTCGCCCATCTGTTGCCAATTCTGTGACTTTCTAACAATATTTAGCAAAAAAAGCCCCCAAAAAAACAAACAAAAAAAACCATCCGTTTTTAGACAAAATGTTGGGTTTATGTTGTTCCCCAACCTGCAAGAATCAACCAAAGACACAAATTACTTTTCTGCAGAAGAGGGGAGCAGAGCCCGACGCGGAGAACCGCTGCCAAACTCTGTCTGGGATCAACTCCGCAGGCTCTCAGTCCCCAACTGCCTTTTATTATGTCAATAGACAAAGAAGTAAACTTTTTCACACATTCATGCAAACAATTGACCAATACACTATCCCACAGGATGTTCTGGAAGTCTTCCGCTGATATCCCATTGTTAGGACACAAGGATGACCACTCTCAGGCAATGTTCCCTCTAATTATTCATGTGTCTGGGCATACACACAAGCTTCCTGGGCACACTGAGGACCACTGTGAGCATCATCAGTGTACACGGCGTGGCCACGCACAAGTGTCATAAATCTGGGATCATAGAAAGTTGCATTGCTTATTAAAAAAATCAAATTACATCAGCAATTTTCATTCGTTTGCTATAAGTAAGAGTCCTGCTTCAGCCAGGGTGAGAAATGAGACATTACACCTTTCAGATATAAAAGTTTGTTCATATTAAAACATTCACATTTTGCACAATGAAATGTTTTCTGTAGCTTGTGATGCAGTATAAATTCTCGTAAAATATTTAATTACAGTTTTTTTCACGTCTGCCCTTCTCACGTCTTCTCACTTCTCCAGTGGTTGTTCACTTAGCCCAGGTTGATGGTCAGTCTGCTTCTTGCTTTATGTACTTGAATTCAGCATATTGACTGTTAACGGCCTCCATAATCTGTGGGTGGAGGAGAATGGCCTCATACTTCTCTGCCAGTGTACAAATGTCTGCTTATCCATAGTCAAAAGTCTGAACTCAACATTTCATTATCAAATGCACATCGTTCTTTTCATTTGATTTGATTCCATTTGATCTTAGAAGAAGTGCATTTCTTTTTTTTTTTTACTTTGGCTTGGTGAGTGGATGTCCCACGTAGACATGATAAGGTGATGGCTTTCACGTTTCTTAACTCTACCGCACTATTCTCACCTGCACGGCGCATATGACCAAGGCACGTAACCCACGTACACGCAGCCAATCAGCACATGCTGATTGGCTGTATAGCAAAAGTGAACCGTATCGTATCATTGGATGGATTCCTGTCACTCACTGAGTTCGATCGCAAACTAGTACGGAAAAAAAAAATTATTGGTCCATCGTCAAAACTGATGTCTGAGCTCAATGTCCACTTTACGTTGGACTTTATTTTATGCGCTACATAGATTTTCTTGTGCGCTGAGAATATGTGAGCAATGCGTGATTGCGCAGGCGCGCAGCTTAGAGGGAACATTGCTTTCAGGATACAGATAAAGATCAAAGCAGCTTATGATACAGGAATGTGTAAAACATCTCTAACCCTTAAGGAAAAGCACTTAGATAAGCAGTTAAGAGAATACCATAAAGGAAAGGAGTCAAGAAAACAACACACAGAATAATAATATGAAAACATAACCATTCAAATCAAAGAAAATGTACTTAGATAATGTTCCTAACACAAAAAAAGCAGTTTTAGCTAAAATCAGAAGGTCAAACTTTTTAATTGTTGATCAGCCAGAAAACTGAGATAAACCTTTTGACTAAGTGCTTTTACATTTTTCCGGAACCCTGTCCCCCTGTCCGAGTGGCTGGAGGAAAGTCAGACAACTCTGCTATCACTATGTTGCCACACCCATGATTTGGCCTGAAGCTGAGGTGATTTCCCAAAAAGATTTCTCTTAATTTCTTTTGATATCTTTTATTTCACTGTTCTCAATTAAGAAAACCCAACTCAGTAAATTGATAAAAGAACTATTTACTGTTCTTCACTATTCTCATTAAACACTCCTGTCTGTTTTTCTGTAGATAAACTGTCAGGCCATGGGAGCAACCCTTGCATCAATTTATAGCATGTACTACTACGGCGAGGTTCAGAAACTGATACGTGAGAAAACTGGTAGAGATGAACGAGCATGGCTGGGAGGCTGTAATGCAGAGAAGGTATTTCTGTCAATGTCAATGTCAAATTTATTTATATAGTACTTTAAAACAGGTATAAAACTGCACCAAAGTGCTGCACAGGAACAACGTGTAACACAAATAGATAAAAACAGAATATCAAAAAATTGCTTCAGTTAAAAGCCAACGAATAAAAATGAGTTTTGAGAAGCGATTTAAAATGATCCAGGCTGCTAGCAGATCTAATCTGAAAAGGCAAATTGTTCCATAAATTAGGAGCAACAACAGAAAAAGCCCGATCTCCTTTCCTTAGTCGGGTCCGAGGGACTGTAAGTAAAAGCTGATTGTTTGATCTGAGGGTTCTGGACACAGACTGAAATTTTAAAAGATCCTGAAGATAAGGGGGAGATAACCCATTTAAAACTTTATAAGTTAATAAAAAAATCTTAAAATCTATTCTATACATAACAGGCAGCCAGTGTAAATTGACCAGCATAGGCCTTATATGGTCATGCTTCCTGGTTCCTGTAAGAAGCCTTGCCGCTGCATTCTGGATCATTTGAAGTCGATGAATCTGTGATTTAACCATGCCACTATATAAAGAATTACAATAATCCAGACGAGTGGTAATGAAGGCATGGATCAGTCCTTCAAAGTCCTCAAAACAAAAATAAGATTTGATTTTTGCTAAAATCCATAGGTGATAAAAACTAGATTTAACGACAGAACTAACTTGTTTATCGAGCTTTAAACAGCTATCAAAAGGTCTCACGAAATTGAGCCAAAGAACCCAGAATCTGATCTGGTTTTGTAGTGTAAAGACTTTGGCCAAATAATATAACTTGAGTTTTTCTTTGATTTAGGTGAAGAAGGTTTTGTCCCATCCAAGATTTAACTTCTGCCAAACAATCTGTCAATAGCTGAAGAGATTCATTTTTTCCATTTTTTAGTTTAAGGGGCATATAAATCTGGACGTCATCTGCAAAGCAATGAAAGGAAACGTTAAATTCATGGAAAATCTGACCTAGATGAAATAAATATAAAATGAACAAAATGGGACCTAAAATTGAGCCTTGGGGGACGCCATACTTTCAAGGTTTGGCCCAAGAAAAGCATTGGTCAAGATTAACTGTGAAAGTTCTGTTTTCTAAATAAGATTTGAACCATTCAAATACTGGGCCTCTCAGGCCAACACAATGTTTTAATCTGTTTAAAAGAATCTGATGATCAAAAGTGTCAAATGCAGCGCTCAAATCTAAAAGTAATAAAACCGCAACATTTCTGCCAGTACACTTTATGTTAGTATTTTGTGAAACACTGACTGAAATGTGTAATCTGCTGAACACTATTGTAGGAGGGATCCTGGTGGTGGAGAGGTGATTGTCCTGTGAGCTTCACAAACTGGTGTCGAGGAGAGCCTAATAATGGTGGAGGCAACCAGCACTGTATGCAGATGAACTTTTCAGGTAAAAGAAAATATCGTACATCTGATTTTTCACTTGATGAATGGACTTGTGGGTGAAAAGCTTATTTACTCTCCATGTAAACATTTTTGTAAACGCTCATCTTAAGTTAAATCTGATGTTTTCATACATTTTGCTCAGTTTTGGGGATAAGTAAACTGAATTTGAAGAAAATTACAGAACTGGTTTCTCAAATGGTTTAGTTTACATTTACTGAAAATAAATTATTCTAGTAACTTTAACTATCTTAAAAAGAGAAGTTTGAACTTATTTAACTTCAGACAAGATAAAAATACTGTATGTTTTCCACAGCAGGAGTTTATATTCATTTTTTGTGGCAAGATGATTCATTTCATCATCCTTTCCAATCATTTTCATAATCCTGCATCGATCATCTCTGGGTTTTCACTACGTGATGCTTGACTGATAATTTGTCCTCTTGCTTTTAGATGAAAAATGCTGGGATGACGTGGAGTGTCATTACAAGCTGCCTTCTGTCTGCATCAAGAAACGCAGACAGTGAAGTTACTAAAAAGGCCTGATGTGTTGAACAGAACCAGTGGAGAATCAGAGCTGCTGTTTATGTTTTCCTGCCTTTTTGCAACTTCATAGAAAACCCTAAAGATATTTCTGATTCTTTACTTTCTTTAATTTCTGTCTTTAATGCAACCTAAGCAATGAAGTGACAAGCAAACAGCAGCTGGATTGTCTCTCTGTAATAAAGTCAGACTGAATGAGTTATAAGAAAGAATCTTCTATGCAAAACTTTCTTCTATTCTTTGGCTGAGCAAAAATAAAACTGAAGAATCAAAACAAGATGGTTTATTATGTGTGTTTGTTGTGCTCTGTTTCCTGAATTATTTCTAACACTATCATATGCTAGTTATTACAATATAAATATCACATTATAACAAGTTCTAGTCAAACCTGATGGTTCTTTGCTCATAAAAGCAGAGAAAAGTTGCTTTTTATCACCTGCTGATGTATTTTAGTCTTTACTTTGTTCTGGAGTTTGCTCTCATTGAATCACCAAAAATTTCATTTCAAGTGACATTTTATTGCACTGGAACTAATGAAAGTATGAACGACCTGGTTATGCAATTCTGTGCAATGTTTGTCAGTATCATTTCCTCATGTTGTATCAAGACTAGAAGCTCTATAAATATCTAGTGATTCTGCAGTGAAGGCTACATTGTAGCATTGTAGAAGAATCATCCGTCCTCTTTGCTGGCTAAGAACACGGATCACTCTTCATCAGGTTCGCTGAACAAATTTCTGCTCATCTTTTTTTTCAACATGTTTGAATTTTATTAACACGTATGCTTTATTTCAGTTTGCCTTCAGCTTGCCCCATCACTTCATCTCCATCATGAAGTTGTCGGCTGTGTTCCTGATGGTTTTCTCCATGATGGCTCTGACCAGTGGTTCCGAGAACCGTTTTTGCAGTGAGTATTTCTTCCTGATCAAGCCCTGCTTAAGTTACTAACTCACAGAAACACAAACCAACTCTAGTTTAGATTATCTACAGCTGCTCCAGATTGTAGCTCTACTGATAAACATTATCTGGTTTTTTTTGTCATTGTTTTCTGATTTCCTCAATGTGACTGCTTGGAATCACAATTCTGATCCTTAGTAAATGTGACACATCTTCTTGTAGTACACTTTAATAAAACAATACTTTTTCTTCAGTATATTTCATATATTTATGATTTGAATATCTTCACTGTTCATTGTACACTGTACACACATCCTGGTTGTGATCTGCACAAGAGTCACTGGTTTTCCTGTCATTGAGGGAGTTAGCTTCTTTAAAAACTGTAATGTTGCATCATTAAGACAAATGCCACAAACACTAGAGGTGATGATAAATCAGCAGAGGTCAATAGATCAACCACTGTCCTCCTCTGATCTGCCATGACAGAGATTTGACTGAAATACCCGTCCAGCAGGTCATGGTTGCTCATTTTTATTAAACAACGGTCGCCCATCTGTTGCCAATTCTGTGACTTTCCAATTACATTAAATCAGGGAACACTTAATGTCTTTTATGAATGTTTGTATACCGACTCTGAACTCTGCTGGAGTTCAGAATCTGTAGGTAATTAAAATAAACTGGACAAACCCAAGCCTGGTTGTTTTTGTTTGCATAAACTGTAAGTGTTAACCATTAACCTAGTATGGGTTTTTCATCCAAATTCTGACTTGTGGGCATAAAATTAGGACAGCATCCTTTTTTCTGAGAAACAACTTGTACATCATTTCCATTAATCTAACCACAACTGCCCTACTAAAGTACCAAATGAGGACATAAAGAACAACAAATTGCATGTGGAGGAGGATAAGGCAACCTCAAAAACTGTTTACTGACACACACAAGTTTCTATTTCTACCCAAATGAGGAGTTTGTATTGTTTTTGTTTATTTTATTAACTGCACTTACGCTTAATCCAACCTATTACTCTAACCTTTTACTTTCTAACCTATTACTAGTATGTAATTAAAAATAACCTTTATCAAAACTTAATTCCCAACTTAAATCTAAACCTATGCCTTACAAAGAAGTCCACCATGTTAAGATGAGGTTTGGTCCCCTTAATGCCCATCTGTCTTCACAAAGTCGGTAATGTCCCATATATGGTCCTAAACAAGTACACACACACACACACACACACACACACACACACACACACACACACACACACACACACACACACAACACACACACACACACACACACACACACACACACACACACACACACACACCAACCACCACCACCACCACCACAGAAAAGTCCACCAAGAAAACACCCCCAGCCTTTTAAGCAAAGGACGGACAAAAAGCTGATGACAGTGACTTTGCAGCCAAAACCACAGGCACCTTTTAAAAGCAAACATCAGTGACATTTCCACTTCCTCTTCACAGTCACCACTTATGCATCTTGATTCTGCTTCACTGTAAAACAAAACTCTATATTTAAAGACAAAACTGTCCTCTCCTGTTGAAACTTCTCATAAAATAAATACATCTACTTGAGCACCAAAGAAATCTCGATTTGTTTTTTCCTGAATGCTGGAGACATTTCTCTGAACCGATGTGGTCGGACGCACATCATCTTCTCTGAGGTCAGCGGCTTTTGGAGATTACTCACACAATCCTTTCCATGATAACATCAAGATTTTTCCTCTGGGCTGCAACTACCTGAGTAGCTGTAAAAAAAAAAAAAAAAAACACTAGTGATTAGATCTACACATTTTATGTTTTCAGTTGTAAAACACAGTCTCAAAATAGTTTGTGTATGGTTTTGTTTGTAGGAATGTCATTGATAAACAGGAAGATTTATATATAAAATATATTAATGTCATTTAGCAACAACAAAAACCCTACTCAAGCTTTTTAAATAGATTTGGCATCATTTAATCTTAATTAATAAGCCTCTTGTTCCTAAATATCCCTTTAACAAAAGCAAATAATTTGAAAGTTTTCTCACTATGTGCTAAAATGATTTAAAAGCTGTTTCTTTATTAATAAACTGAAAGGTTATCTTCAAACAAAGGTTCATTGATTCTGTGGTCGCTGCCTTAAGCCTTTATAAATCAGCGACTTCAGCTACAGCTAGCCACTTCCTCCAAAGTGAGCTAACACAAAACACACTGTTACAATACCAACCGTGACATCACTACTATGTATACAGTATGTATAACTATAATTAACCTAATTAATTCCCTACAGCAACACCTCCTGCTGTCTGGTTTCCTTAATTTGTTTGTCTATAGTTGTGATATTGCTTGGAGATTTAAAAACACGGAAGAAATTAGACCTAGAGGGGGGGTGAAATGAAAATCTTTGTGATTTCTATTTAATGGCTACACTGTATGCATAAATACTGTCCAGTTTCTCCATAGGTTGATTATAATTCTAATTTTTTCTTTTCAGATTTTAAAAGTTTCTGAGTAGAAATGAGAACATAAGACGTCGAGGACAGACAGCTTTACCTCTCCTCCTGTCTCTGTATATGAGTCCCAGTAGGATGGTGGACAACAGGTAAGGTTCCCACTATGAGGTGACACAACAGTCTGGAACCAGGAAATGAAACTGGGGCTGTGGGCAAAGCTGAAGATGCTGGTGACAGAGATGCTGTAGATAAAAACAATATTTTCTTTTTAAATTCAAGTGATGGTGTTTATGTAAAAAATATTTTATGGAAATGATCTGACTTCAGACAGCTCTGAAATGGAGGTCTAATAAATCTATCAAATGCTGCAGGGATATGAAGGATTCTCCTCACTCAATTGGATGTCTTGATTGTTTTGGTCACTGAAAACCGTCAGCCAGCTGCTTTCTGATTCTCCAAGCCCTGCGGCGCTGCAGGTGTAGAGCCCCTCATCGGATTTGGAAGCGCTGAGAATGGTCATCTCTCCTGAGCAGTTGCTCCTGATGAGGCGGCCATCTTTGAAGAAGTTGTATTTGTGTTTGGAGGGGTTGGTCTCAGCTTTACAGTACAGGACCGCATCAGCTCCTTCTGACACCGGCATGGCAGGACTCTCCAGAATCACTGTGCGATCTTTGGGGGGAAAATAGGTTTTTGTATTTTGAGCCTTAATATTTCAGATCCACTATGCAGTCACTTTGGCTGAAGTAGTTTTTAATTTAAAGCTACAGCACAGTTTTTTTTTTTACTTGTAACAATCTGGGTTTGGAGCACAAGAAGAAAACATAAAACAACAAGAATCCTTACTTTAAAGTGAGAAAATACAGGAAGGCAATAATATTAATAAATGTTCAACATGCTTTTAGTCAAAGGCAACTCTCAAGAAGTATAAAAACTGAATCCTGAAGAAAGGAAGGAAGGAAGGAAGGAAGGACAGAACGAAAAATAGATAGATAGATGCATGGATGGATGAGTTTTTCATATCTTTCTAGAACATTAATCCTTTAATTCTGGAAAATTAACCTTCTATCTCCAGGTGACAGAAGGTTGACTTTGTAACCGTCTTTATGTGGCTCTTAAAGTCCATCGCTACATTGTGATTTTAGGCTAGATTTCTAGTTTCCGGATGTAATAACTGAAGCTCTCTGTTGACTCTACATCCAAAAATAACAACTTGAGAAAATTGAATAAAGTTATTCCACATCCAGACTTTAATTTGTTCTACTGATCTACTCAAAGCTTTAATGGGTTCATAATTACCTGGTGACATTGTAAAGTAGAGCTGTACATCATCTGCATAATTTATTTATTAGAACTAGTAGAAAAATGAGGGGCTCCAAAATGGAACCTAGGGGAACTCCAGATCCAGGCCATATCTACATTTTGTTCTTTGATTTTACTTTTGTGGCTTCGTTTGGACATTTCTGTAGGTAATTTTCCACTTTTGTTGCACTTCGTTCCAATCAAGTTTACGGCTAACAAGAAACAGGAAGTGAAAATGTTTAACAGCAACATCAGAAAGGTAAACTGTGTTAGAAGAAAATAATGGTCAGACTGTTGTATTGTATGCATAATATGCACAATAACAGGTTAGTTTCATTCATGTGCTTTCAGTCATCTTTTTAATAAAAGCCAAATGATCGAAAACGTATAAAAAACACAGTTTGAATTTTTTTGGCACAGAAAAGACAAAATAAGCTTCAAATAAGGATCAAAACAGTCGCCATTTTGCAGAAGGTCATCAAAACCCAAACTGACAGATTTCTAGAATTTATTTCTAAACATCCCACTGTACCTGTGATGGTGATGTTGACCTCATTGCTTCGCTCCCCTGTGTCCAGCTCACACCAGTAGACCCCGTGTCGGTGGGGTAGGTGTTGCCAATGGTGCAGGTGGACGCCACCGAGGGGTAGCCCCAGCCGGAGTTGCACGGCCTGACCCCGCCGTCTGAAGTCTTCTCTTCACCTTCCAGCCGGTGGAGTTGATCGGATCCTTGCAGCTCAGGGCGACTGAGTCGTACCGGAAGAACTGGGAGCGGTCAGGGCTGACCTGGAGGCAGGCTGAGGCGGATCAGACGGCTCACATCAGCAATACATTCAGGAAAATATCATTTTAGACACAATCAAACTAATTGATCGAAATAGAGAACTGATGAGAGGATGAAGTGGAATTCAAACTCACAATGTCGCATTAGGAACAAAAAACAGAGCAAAACTCATTGACTATAAGACAAAACTGAAGAAATCAACAAATAAAAAATGGTGAGCAGTTGAAACAGAAAAAATAACAGAGGAAGTTGCACAGACAGTATGAAACGAAACTGCTCTAGAAAATCAACGTGAACATTGAGAGGAAAAAAGAAAATGTGCTGGAAAATATTTGTATACAGTTTTATCAGAAAAACATACAATCAGTTTAGGACATAATGAGAGATTACAAACAGACAAAAGGTTGGAAAATGTTTTTCACTCAGCATCAGGCAGAACTCTGTTACCAGCATCCTGTCTGACCGTCGACTGACTGAAAAACACGCTTTTCACTTCCTTTGTGAGAAGCAAAGATCTGCAGAGGCTACTGAAGGTGTCGGATACATGCATTCCTTTCTGAAAATGAAGGTTCACAGAACAAACTGTACAAACTATTCCAACTAGGAATGGTTCTTTATTGAGGGTTAATTTACTGTGTATTGTATTTAATTTGTATTTTTTTTGTATTCTTTTGCGTATGCTTACTGTGTGCCACTTTTTTGCCTGTGAGCTGCTGGTAACTTTAATTTCCTGAGGGAGTCTTCCCAAGGGATCAATAAAGTACAAGTCTAAGTCTAAGTCTAAATCCAATACAGCACAAATGTCTGAAGAAAGGGTGCCAGAGAGCTAGATTTTCTACATTTTCTCTGAGAGAAAGCAGCAGACTTGAAGCTACCACTTGCAACAAAGATTAAAACATCTTCATTGACATAAGTGACAGAAACTGCTTTAAAATGAAAGAAAAACTAATACAGTCCCTGGTTTAGAGGAAGTTCTAACACTTTCTCAGTCGTGGCAGGATGAGCCTTATGCAGGTCAGCAGGTGTTTGTCAGGCATAGTGGATCTGTACTTTAATTAGACCATCTTCACATGGAGAATGCAGGCCTACAAATACCACAAGATGCTAACACACACACACACAACACCCTGGATTGCCCTGGATTTCATTTGTGAGTTAGCATCTCGTTTTCAACAACAGAGACAGGCAGGTGGAAAAACGGGAAGTTATTCAGAAGGCAGGCAGATTGTGTTTGACATCCAGACCAAATGGGAAGCACAAATAGTCAAGCTTCAAGATAAGCACAAATAGTCAAGCTTCAAGATGGAAAAAGTGAATTCAAACTGTCTGAATACACTGATGGTATCAAGCAGAGCATCAGGCAGAACATCAACACCATAACCTTACATGAACGTTACGGTGTTGCATCAGTTGTAACTTGCTGATCATGCTAAATATCTGGAACTTGTAGTTCTGTGTTCAGCTGTTTCCATCTATAACTGAAAATCCAGAGAAAATATTGACTTTTGAAATGCAACTTTATCCAAATGTTTATTTTATTTATTCTTGTTCATTTGCATTTGTGTAGAAACAAATACATGAGAGAAACCTGCAGCTTAATAACACATATACATAACAAACATCAACAAATGGACACAAAGGATGTGTCCTTTGGATGTGTACCAGCACCATGGATGAACAAATACATTATTAATACAGTATCACAATTAAATAAACATCAATAATTGGGAATAAAACAGTTTTTAAATAGAGCAGTCAACCAAACACTTTACCTGACAGGGGTTCATGTGCATACTGTCAGCAATTTCTGAGCAAGAGTCAAGGTCATTTCTGAAAATATAATGCCTTAAAAACTTTTAAGTTTTAAGGTACGTTTTAAAGTTGACCAAACTTTACAAACTTGGTTCTTGGAAAACCAGAACCAATGCTGTATATAATATAAACATCATAATGCTAATCATAGCATTCTTTTTTCCTCAAGTTCATGTATGACAAATGTCAGACTTTACAATAAGTAACAATAATGTAAAGATAAATATAAAAATATACATATGTTCCTACAATAAAAAACATTTACAAAAAATAGTCACCAGCTTTTCTTTCTAAAAATGTCAAACTGGCTCAAGTGCAGCAAGTGATTCCTCCCTTGTAAATAAATCCCTGAGAAAAAAGATGCGATAGGTCATAAAAATACAAGTTTCATGTTCGTTACTTTTGACTCCAGCTTTTCTTCCAGACGTCCAAAGTTAGTCTTTAAGGCCGACATCGTCCATAATCATTCCTCTAACTTTACACCTGAGTATTTATTACAAGGCCTCTGGAGAACTGAATGGGTAAGATTCAAACCGTTCATCCAGTGGATATGCTGGAGCATTGAAAACATGCAGCCCTTAAAGAAAGGCAAACATCAACCACACTGACCCTTCAGACAGTCCGCACTCAGACGCTCGCTGGCGAGAGCTAAAAACGTCCAGAGCCTGATGTACAGCAGGTCATTAATGTTTTTTTTTTTTGTTTTAAGCTAAGAATATATTTAGGTAGGAGTGATGGCTCTGTTAGGTTTATGTTACAACATTCAACAGGATTTATATTTACTGAACTTCAAAAACTAAAATGGCCTTTAATACAGTAGAGGTGCTAAAAGTGTTCATGACACAGTGACCACAACTTTGTCTGTGCTTATTAAAACTGGTAAACTTATTGAAAAAGTAACTGAAAATACATTTAAATGCTTAATATCTGGCATTATATTCCTCTAACTTCTCTAAAAGGTTTGCTTTGCTCAGTAAGCTGTGCAACATATTCTGTCTTAAACCTTCTGAAACCGTTCCTGTAAAAATCAACACCTTCACCTGGATTTGGCTGACATATATTTGCACACAGTCATCAGCTCTGATTATTGAACAGAATCATGTTTCTTAATGGTTTTAAAGAATTGTGTTCAAAAAAAAAATTAATTATGAGTTAATTCATGATTGAAGCTGTTTGTTTTCTTTAGGTTAAAAATTAAACATGCGCCTTTGTTAAGATTATTTGGAAACATATTTGTCAGATGTCTTCAAGTTTTGGTTGAATTTTTCTGGCACACAGATTTTTACAGATTGGGTCACAGCAGCACCAGAAGAGCTGATGAACTGAAGACATCTGCTCTGCTAGTGTTTCAATGTGCTTGTTCAAGCCACTCTTTCAGGAAAATGAAGGACATGTTTTAGGTTTTCCAGTAACTTGACTTGTTAAGAATTTCAGGTTAGGATCGTTTGTTTCTTTTTGTTCATTCATGCTGTTTAGTTTGTTGTCCGTTATGCTTTGCTGGATTAAGGAGTCAGGAGAGTCACTTTCTTTGATTTGGTCCGAGTTGATGGTCATCTGTAGTTTCGTCCCTCTCTCTGTGTGAAAACATTAAATATCAACAGTGTTTCATAGATTCTCTCATTGGACAGTCATTGCATGAGTCAAAAAATGAACAATAGGTTTGTTCAGTTCTCATATATTTCTGATCTGACTGACACCAGCTCTGGATAAAATAAATTTATGAACAAACTGTCTCTTATATCAGGTCCACTCAAACATTAGACATTTTTAAAACCACTTAAAAGTCTCAGTTTCATTCTTTGGGTTTTAATCCGAATCAGTTTTGTCTTAATTCTGTTATTTCTTACCTAAGTTTATCCTTTTTACATGTCTTTTCTTAAATTGTTTGTATGTCATTTATTAATTATATACTTTGGTTGTTAGCTGCTGGTTTTGAGATCTTCTCCACGCAGCAGATCTATGCTGCTGCATCTATACATTCACCGGCCACTTTATTAGGTACACCCTGATAGTACCGGGTTGGACCCTTTTACTTCCTTAATCCTTCATGGTACTGGAAACATTCCTCAGAGAATCGGGTCCATATTGACCTGATAGATGCTGCAGATCCATGACATGAATCTCCCACCACATCCCAAAGGTTTCTGTTGGATCTGGTGGCTGTGGAGTCATTCCAGTTCAGTGAACTCATTGTCCAAGAAACCAGTCTGAGATGATTGGTGCTTATGACATGGTGTGTTATCCTGATGGAAGTAGCCATGGTCTTCTGGTCAGCAGCAATACTCAGGTAGGCTGTGATGCTCAGTTGGTACTAATGGGCCCAAAGTACCAGGAAAATATCCTCCACACCATGACATCATCACCACCAGCCTGAACTGTTAACACAAGGCAGGATGGATTCATGCTTCCTCTTGTTGAGGCCAAATTCTGGCCCTTCAATCCGAATGTGGCAGCAGAAATCCAGACTCACCAGACCGGACGACGTTTTCTGATCTTCTATTGTCCAGTTTTGGTGAGTCTGTGTGAATTGGAGCCGGTTTCCTGTTCTTAGCTGACAGGAGTGGCGCCGCTGTGGTCTTCTGCTGCTGTAGCTCAGCCGCCTCAAGGTTTGACATGTTGTGTGTTCAGAGCTGCTCTTCTGCAGGCCTTGGTTCAATCGGTGGTTATTTGAGTTGCTGTTGTCATTCAATCAGCTTGAGCCAGTGTGGCCGTTCACCTCTGACCTCTGGCATCAACAACGTCTTCGTTCCCACAGAACTGAGGCTCAATGGATATTTTCTCTTTTCGGCCCATTCTGTGTAAAACCTACAGATGGTTGCATGAAAACCTCAGCAGATCAGGAGTTTCTGAAATACTCGGTCCAGCCCGTCAGGAACCAACAACCATAACACATTCAGTCACTTACATCACTTTTCATCCTCGTCTTGATGCTCGATTTGAACTGCAGCAGATAGTCTTGGCCATTTCTACATCCCTAAATGCATTGAGTCGCTGCCATGTGATTGGCTGACAGGTGTACCCAATGAAGTGGCCGGTGAGTGTGTAAATATAATACAATATATAAATAATCTATTGGAGCTTGTCTGCCATGTTGTTTCACTCATAGATTTGTATTTTTTTAACGTGATTTAAAATGACAACTTACCAGAACTGGAGCGTTTCTTGCAGAAATACCAATACAAAATAAAACCCGTCAGACACAATATCACTGTTGTTGCTACTGAGATTGAAATGACTGTAGTGTGGGATTCCTTCCAGAGACCTGCAGTGAAACATGTGATAAAAATCAACCCTAAATATACCCAAGATTTATTTTTTAAAGAATTTGTATTATGTCCTTTTTTTTGTTTCTTCTTTGTAAAACAGACAACAACACATTTACTCTGCACCAGTAAACCAATGGCTTCGCATTCGTGGTCAAACATGTAAAAACATCCTGAATTTGTTCAGTCAGTTCAATTAGTGAGTTTAAACAGCCAAAGTAACACAAATAGAAAATAAACTAAACTGATCATGTTGGTCAAATATGTACAAAATAAACGTCAACAAACCTTTGAAATGGTTCAGAAATTAGAAATTCTACATATAATGTAAAATAAATAAACTATGATGTCACTCAGAGCACAAAGCATAGAAATAGACTGAATAGATCTGCCCTCATGGAGTGGCCACATTGTCACTGATATTAATATTGGATCATGCATCTCTCGTTTAAAGCATGTTTTAATAAGTTGACATCATCCAGCATCATGTAAAGAAATAAATTATTGCCTAAGATGGAAAAATCATTTAAAAAATGATTGAAAATGAAAACTATCATATTTGTACCTGGAAGGAGTATTTCTGCCACCTTGCTTTGATTCCTCTCTGTCTGCTGGACTCTGCAAAAACCCTGTAATGAATTAAATAACATGTAACAAAATTAGCAGCTTTTTCTGAGAAATGTTGGTATTAACAACACAAAGAATTGCAGTAAAATTGAAAGTGCCCAAGTAGATCTTAGAGACATTTAGTGAAACAAACAGTTTAATTGCCGAATTGAAATAATGCTGATCTAATAATAATGTAAAAATCCTTCATTCTGGACACCAGTGAGGCATTAGCTCCCTCTAGTGGTTGGCATAAAAAGAGATGCTCATGCTCCAAAACACTTTTATCACATTTATCCGTCAGTCTGTTCAAACACCACCAGGAATAAAGAGACTCTAAAGGTAACTCACCTGCTTACTGCTTTTAGCAGGGTGACATTTTGCTTCGTGTTGTAACATCCTCTGGGATCTTCTTCTTGTTTCGCCGGTTCTTCAGTCAATCTGTTTCCTTCATTGTCCAGGATCGTCATAAGCGGCGCTGGCCTCCAGCAGAGGGCTTTGCACTCAACGGTCACTTCTCCGCCGTCGGTAGAAACCACAGAAAGCTTCGGCTCAGACCACGAATCTGTGGAGACAGAGATCACAGACCATCACTACCACTGCTGTGAAGAGTGTTTAAAAGAAAAAAAATCACCAACTCAAAGGGAGAGTTTCCTCTGTTACTTGCTGATATGTATAGATTGGAGACAGTGAAGTGTGGGCCTGTAATCCCGGTATTTAAAAATGGGTCTTATTTCAACTACTTATTGCTGTCTGTCTTTATATTCCCAATGTATTTGTCTGTTTGATACATTTAATGTGACTTATTTCTGATCGGCCATAAGTATGCAGAGAAAATGCAGAGGCAGAAAGCATCATGCCTCACTGACAGGGGGCAGTGTTGAGCCCCACAGACACAACAAGCAAGAGATGTTCTTGAAGAGAACCGTTCAAGGTCACGCTCTTCAGCTGCCAGATACTTGAAAGTGAAAGAAAAATGAGAAACAAGGATGTCATTTGTTTTCTTTTTAACTGAATGAAAGAAATATTTGACATTGTAAAATAATCAGTTTTAATCAGAAGAGAGGTCAGCCAAATGAAACATTTGACCTTATTAAATATTATTTTATCTTTCTTGTAATCATGTTGTTAGACACTTTATTTAGGTGTGATCAGAATTAAAATACAGCTTCTATGTTGGATTGAGGATTGGTGCATTTGAGCTGGTAGAGTCTCACTGCATGTCACTGATTTGAGCCCATAAGTCCAAATCATGACACAATTCTTTTTCTTCTCTAAAACAACAAAATATTGGACTCCTGCTTACAGCAAAAAAGGTTTTCCCCAGTTGTCAAGATCATAGATGAAGCCCTTTGTAACTTTGATTTTAACAGATGCTATTAGAATAAAAATGACATACTGCGCTGCGTTAACTCTCCATCAATAACAGAGGAGTTACCAAACAAAAGTGACTGAAAGAAACGTACCAACCACCAGCTCCACTCGTTTGTTCTTTGGTTCCGTTCTTTTGGATGACCAAACATTGGTACGTTCCGGAGTCGGACAGCTTCAGTTTGGAGATTCTCAGTGAGTAGTTCCCGTTTTGCAGCCGTTTCAAGATGAGGTTCGTCCGGTACTCGAAGTCTGGATCCTTCATCCCGAAGGTCTCGCAGCCGTCGCGGTACAAGAAGACGATTACTGGCTTGGACCCTTCCACCACTTTGGACCACTCCACTGTGGGAATGTCTTCATTAGCTGGGATGTTGAAGGTGCAGGGAAGGATGACGTCTCCATCAGCAAAAGCATCGACTTGATTAGATTGAGCATCTGTGGAAGAAACTCCTGCAAAAATGAGCATCACTAGCAGATTACTGACTTTTCCAGACAAAACCAAAATATTAGCCGCATCGGAAACATTTATTGACATCATAAACATGATGTTATGATCATAAAGGAGTCTTTATGAATGTTGTCATGAAATATCATTCAGTAAATAATGACACTTGTAATGCAAGTTAACACATCTAATGGGCTTTTAGTGCAATTTTGCATTAAAAGAGTCATATTTATCTAATAACGTTTCATCACAACAGCCAGACGTTTATGAAGACTCCTTCATTTTTATGATGGGGTGTTGTAAACACCCCATCAAATAAAAACGTTACCACAGCATCGGCTGATTAGGCATAATAAAACTGAAAGTAAAGATGGGATTTTTCAATCATCTATGAATTAATTTACAATTAATTATCAACCTAAACTCCAACTATAGGGGTTTTCAGGGTTAATCACAATTAGCAGGGAAATTTGTGGAGGGAGCTAAAAATTAGGATGAGGACACAACTTGATCAGACTGAAATGTAAACACAGGACATGTGTGTTAAATGGACTAAATAGATACATAAAAAAACCCATCACAATTGTGCACAAATTGTGAAACTGGTGGTGAACTTGGAGTCAAGAGCCATAGAGAGGAAGCAGAAGAAACTCCTCATACCCTTTGAGTCACAGTTAGTTTTTACGCTTCCAGGTTTATATAAAGTTATCTGAATAACATCTCATCTGACGTCACATTGTTTTAAAAGGAAAAGAGAAAGCAACAGCTTGCGGTGAGAACAATAGACTATTATTAGCGCACATTTACACAGTCAAAATGAATCATGGAGTACAAACCAATATTTTACTCCTGATTCGTCAATAATCAATAATAGAGGCGATTTAATGATCATTAAGCTCCTTCTGCTGTCATTTAACTCCTTGGTCCTTATCAATAGATACAACTTTATGTAATCGATCACTAACAAAAGACGTTATCGGATGACTGAGCAAATTCTCCACAGATCGTCTCTGAAACTACAGGAAAAAAACATTTATGACCTCTGACCCCTTACCTGAGAATAACAGCGACAGTCCAACCAGGAAGAGATGCAAATACATCACCGAGGATGAAAACGGAGTTCCTGTCTTTTACAGGAGATACAGCAGCAGGATTCATTCACAATCAGAACCAGACAGGAACTGAGACTTCCGCAAAAAAAACTTTATTACAAAAATGCATTCCGGAAAATGATTCATTCATGTACTCGATTCTTGCATTTCTCACGAAACATTTAAAATTGATCAGTAATAGTGACGATTTAATGGTCATTAAGCTCCTTCTGCTGTCATTTAACTTCTGGTAGTGAAGTGCTTGGTTTCAATTTGTCAGTATAAATCAAAGGTAAACCATGAAAACTGAGATTTATGGGTTATTTAATTCAATGGTGCGTCATGCTGCTTTCACTGCAGTCGGACATAACAGCTTCTCTCTCTCTATCTATCTATCTATCTATCTATCTATCTATCTATCTATCTATCTATCTATCTATCTATCTATCTATCTATCTATCTATCTATCTATCTATCTATCTATCTATCTATCTATCTATCTATCTATCTATCTATCTATCTATCTATCTATCTATCTATCTATCTATCTATCTTTTTACTCTTATAAGATTATTAAAAGAACAAAATATTTAATTCTTATTTAGTCCCACACAAATCTCAGTTTAATCTCAGAGTCAAACATTTATTTCATATCCTTTATGTAACCCGAGTGTAATTTTAAACCTTCATTTCCTCTGATTTTCTACTCTTTTGCCTTTTAGCCTCAAATCTCGCGATGTTTTAATAGTATTATGAGTGATTCTCGCGAGATTATCATTTAGCCAATCGCGGTTGAGTACTGGGGTCACATGTACCTTTCAGTTTACCGGCTAGGTATATTAGCTAGCGGAAGGCCGTGAAGGGTAGAACGCGTTGGAAGGAGCAGAGCTGGCAGGAGCCCATTATTGTGAGCCGGGAAAGGGAGATGAAAAAGATCCGGTAGTATGACGCAAAACTGCGGAACTGGCCAGGTGGATGGTGAGCTATGAGACGAGGCCTAGAGCCAAGAAAGATTTCACCTGTTGATGACAGAAGACTGCTTACTTCTCCTACCCAGCTGGTAGGAATCCTACAAAGGACTCTGTTCCTTCTTTGATTGGACTTTCATTTACCCAGGACGTGAACCACGCCCTGGATACTCGCCTTGTTTGCGAGCCTGATTAATCCCCATTCGGGGTGGATGGACTAAGGAGTTGTAAGATGAACTTTGGGAACGATTGATTAATTTGTTTTTTCCCCTTTGTTGTGTTTCTTCTTTTCTCCTCTATTTTTCTTTTTATTTCATTGTTTTGTTTTTTTCCTTGATGGCCATTTGCATATCCCAATGTTGTGGTTGTAAATATGTATATATGATATTCACATTGCAAATACAAAACACTCGCAGCTGCAAAACTCTAGTCTAACTGCTCTTTCTTGAGTCGGACCTATTCTTCTGAAAGAAAAAAGAAAGGAAACTGGCCTATTATCTTGGTTAAAAGCCATTTATATTGAATAACAATTTAGATTGTCTTTTCAAATATGCTACATTTAATTCTCACAATCTTTAATAATCTAACTTAGTCTAAAGCTAACTCCGGTCTAAACATTCAGAATATTTACAGAACCTTGGAAAGTTTTTCACTAAACTTTTAACCTTTTCTAATATTATAACGTGACCTTGAGGCTCCGCCCACACGAGATGTTTTTGAAAAGTTTCAGGTTTCCTTTATTGATTCACTTCAGCGTCAATAAATGAATAAACATTTGTTCAGTTCAGAGTTTTACTCTGATCGTCATGAAGTTTATCCATCAAAAGCTTAAATCAAAAACACCAAAACAAGTCGAGGCAACAAGTAGCGGCAACAAGTCTGCATGCTGTCCGTCATTCAGTTTCTTAGAAACATTCAGGAACACGATTTATTTAAGATCAGTCATAATATATTAACCTCAACTTCAGAGTTAAACCAACAACATTTGTTAACTTGCTTTGTGAACGATGATCATTCAGGAGTTGAGAGGTTTTTCTGCATTTGGTTTTTGGACAGATGTTTCGGGTCAGGAACAGGCCTGGTTTGGCTCCTGATCTCCTGGTGAGTTTGCTGCCTCAGCGTCGGGATCGGGATCAGACATGAGAGATCGGGTTTTCCAGGGATCCGGAGGCGATCCGGTGGAGCTCTGGCTGATTGTTGGATGTTGGTGTCGACAGATCGAACGGCTCCAGAAACTGATGTCCTCTATTTGGATGGTGTCCGCTTTGCGCCTCTGGTGGTGCAGCTCCTCCAAGATGCAGTTCTGCTTGTTTTCAGTCAGACTCAGCTGGTTCAGAAGGGAATTGGATTCACTGACGTCAGTCGTCACGGTTTGGTCCAACTTGTCCTTTTGCTGTGATGGTTTTTCTCCATCTGGGTTCAGACAGTCAGAAAAGAGCCAGATGGAAACATCAGAAACATTTAATGTTTTTAAGAATGTTTTTTTTTTAACAATAAGGAAAACATGAGCAACCAGGCACAAGCATTTTGTCACCTTCCTAAAATAATGTGACTTATTTGCAAAAAAGAAAAGAAAAAGATTAAGGCAAAAAAGTAAAATAAATAAAAAAATACTCGATGAAACCTTTATTTTGGGAATATGACAATGTGTGAAAAAAATGTATCTTATGCAGAATGAGGTATGAAGCGTTTTGTATTAAAAAACCCACAAAACCACAAAGAGGAATGACAGGAAATGGACAGAATGGAAGGAGCAGAAGTGAGACTGTTATCCCATTTGTATAATTTCTCTAAGTTACTATAATTCACACTATTAATTTTTCCAGTTTACATTTCTCTTTTGATCTACCCCTTTTAAAATTTAAACAATTTTTTATTGTTTTAGAGCTTTAAATAACACATCTGGGGATTCTTACAAATCACTAAAAGCCCATTTTAGTGCAAACTTTTAAAGAAGAATAATCAGTTATTAACAGTTAGAGGTTCCTAATCAACCACTAGTGTTTATAAAAAGGTTCAAAGAGAAGTAGTTTACATAACAAATCTAGTTTTTCAGAGTAAATTATGTTTAAAATTATCTTATGTTCATTGCTTAGCTGTTTAAGTATTGTCTTATTTCTTGCTAAACTATGCCCTCTAGTGGTCGCTCCTGGTCAGTTTTCTGAAAATCAGCAGCAGTTTCTCAGTCCTGTTTGTTGTTTGTTGCCTGTTGAAACATCACTGTTGTATATTATAAGTTAAATTGCTACAAACACTTTGATCTGGGGAGAAGTTCTGCATTTTTATAGTTTGCTCTGTTTGTCACTAATGAAAAGATCATATGTGTGTCTGCATAAAAATTATGTATGTAGTGATTTTGACTGTGTTACAACAATGATACTAATATGTATTTTTTATTTATCCTCTTTCAGTTTCACAGAAAAACTGATGTAAGTAAATTGTACAATATGCCATATGGAGTTTCTGTTATCTGTTTGGATAAATATCACATTTAGCAGATCTCATTCAATCAAATATATTTTCTCTTATCAACTGATAACAAGATATGCAAAAGTAATTCATATTACAATGTTCTTTTCCTAATTCCTGTGTGACGTCAGTTTTTTCTGCTCATATTTCCCCATCTGGTCTCTCTCTGGAAATACCATCACTTTAGTTATTGACGTATTTATTCTGCTAAATAAGAACATTAACTTACCACAATTCATTGGCTTCTTTGTTACCAACAGATATGACACCAACAGTAGATTAAAGGCAAATGAAACTGTTAAAGCAACATATATCAGAGTGGTTGTGGTGGTGGATTCAACCCAGGAAGCTGGAATGACAAAGAAACTTTATGTTTAAGATCAGAATATAAGTAAAATGTTCAGAACTGTTGCCAGATATGAACTGTTGAGTTTCAGAAGTCAGATTATTTCCTTCTGAGTTTCATATTGAGCACTAAACAAACAAAAATGTCAAATTAAAATCCTTATTTTTCCATGTGAACTTTTTAGATGGAAAGCAAATTGTGAACAGAGGCCAAAATGATAATGCTACTTCAAAATAAAAGCATCTGAAGTAAACAGTGGTTTTCAGAAATGATGTAATCAGACATGATAAAGGATAAAATAAGACTTCAGTTCTGTTATATAAAGATTAAACAGTGTTATAAAGAGGATATATTTTTAAGTGTGTGCTGTTCTGCCATGGTTTGTATCATCAGGTTGTTTGGTTTAAACTTGACAGGTCACTTCAGTTGACTCACCAACCAGCAGCTCCACGTTGGTTTCCTGTCTGCGGCCGTTGTTCTGAATGGCGAGGCACCGATACGTCCCGCCATCGGACAGCTTCACGCCGGAGATCCTCAGCGAAACGTTTGCCGTTCTTCACCTCCCTCATGGCGAGGCTCGTCCGATACTCGAAGTCGGGATCCTTCATCTCGAAGGTTTCGCAGCCGTGACGGTACAGGAAAACGACGACTGGCTTCTGGCCTTCGACCAGTTTGGACCACTCCACTGTCTGAACATAGTCACTGGGACGGATGTTCAGTCTGCAGGGGAGAACGACGATCCCAGCAGTGAAGGCCTCGACCTGCCCAGGCTGAGCAGACAGACACGCATGTCCTGTAAAATACAACAAACATCATCAGGAAGCAACTTATGATGAATTATTCTACTTTAGCCAACAGTTTACTTGCTTTATGTTGTTTAAATAATCTGAGCTGGAAAACAGCTGAGGAAATAAAAACAGATTCTGAACAGATATAAAGTTTTATCGCTCTAATCCTTGAAGTTGGCAAATCTAAAAATTATTTTAACAGTAACTTCAATACAAATAATTTTCCACTTCCTTTATTTAATATTTGTTAATGTGTAAATGAAGTCAGATATATTTTGTTTCATTAAAACATCCCTATCAGACGAATACATTTTTAATTCTCCATTTAGAAACCATTGCTGCCCAATTTTCTTATTTTATATCTAAAAATTGATTGCAACAGAACTTTTTCTGCAGAATACACACTGAGTGTGTCTGCATTTACCTAAATATAGAAGCAGGGCCTGGATGATGGGTTTTTCCAAATGGACTTTCTCCATGTTGTAAAGGCAGCTGAAGAAAGTGCGTTGTCATGTTCACGTGATTTACAGTAACTGCCTGCAGAGAACTTACCTTCTGAATCAAAGTGTGGTTTTTGTAGTACAGGTGAAACAAAAGACAAACTTCTGTCCTAAATCCTAGCAAGTGCATCCGACTGAAGAGCAAACTCTGTTAGATTGAGTTGGATTAATAAACAATGAGACAAGAAGGCAAAAAGCAGCTTGGACAGTGAAACTATTTGGCCGTCAGAGATTAGAGGAAGCCTGATATTTCTTCATACACGCACACACACACGATCTGATTTGGCTTCACAATAAACTGTTTCATTTTCATTTAAAGCCTTTTACTCCTTTGTAACATTTATTATTAACAGACTTGCTTTATTTGAGAGAAATCCAACCACTTCGATATTATTTTAAGTTCTGTAAACTATGACGTAAGTGTTGTAATATGCTTTCTTTCTTACCTTTGATCAGGAGCGCTCCAAACACAAAGCAAAGAAGATAACACATCACCAGGCGGTATAAACTGAATTTTCTCTACTGTCAGTCCATAATAATAGCATTTAAGTTGGAGTATGAAATATTCCGGTTCTATACCGTAAAACGAGCTGGTCAGGTTTCATGTTGAGACAAAGTCCAGCTGGTTACTGAGTAACCTGGTCTGAACTCATGCCATTGAAGTTGTCTGGTTTTAAAGTGAAAGCAAACGATTTAAAATAGATGTTTCTACATGCAGCTTTATGTTACTAAATCATTTCTGGAAACTTCCCAGCCTCTCAAATTTAAACCTAAACTCTCTTAACTGAACTACAGACATAAAAAATAGAGAAAATAAACTTTTTAACCAATTCATCGAGCAGTTAGTAAAAAATAAACTGGATTCCACAGATTCCCAAATTTAAGTTTTTATTCTTTTTGTGCTGTTTGCTTAATACATTTAATCTGCATTCATGTACATGTGTTCGATTATTTTAATGTCTGAATTAAGTTAACTCTAATAGGTTCTAACATCATCTAAAGGGGATATTATCATCTTTATCATCTATTTATCTATTATATATCTATATCACATGGTTCCATTTTCTAGCACAATGAAGTAAAACAACTGAACAGAAATGACATGTTACATTGAAATTGGGCTCTGTCTCTTTAAGAAAGACCTTCCCTTCACAACATTTCTCCTCCAGTCCACTGATGCTATTTACAGTCGCTATTAGGAGTGTTGTAGATGTGCAGTCCCTGTTTGCTAAATGCTGCTGCCACTAGTCTGAAGGAGCTGAGAGGAGGAGGAGAGGTGGAAGCTCAGATAGAAACTTAACATTCAATGATTCTCAAACATTCACAAAAATCCAAATTCTCTCAGAACTTTAAATAGCTGCAATTTCTACAACCACCACACATTTAAAATGATTTGTTAAAACATATTTTTTGTAGATTTTGTCAACAGTTGACATTTTATACACCGAGTTATGATATGTTTGTCTCTGTAACTTGTGACATTTTATTTTTGTGGTGCTTGGTGAGAGCGTTTGCTGTTGTGATAAGACTAAAGTTTTCTCTTCTTCAAAGACCTGGGACTTTGTGACTTAAGCAAATATGTGTCATGTTATCAAGAATATGTTAGTCAATGAGGATCTATTTTAAGTTTAAATGAAAAAGTTGTGGATTCCAAATGACTAAATAATGGAATCAACAGAATTAATTTCTTTAATTAATGAAGATAACTTTACTTAATGAAGTACTTTACTTCTGCAGAACGCTGCTGCTGGCAGCCTGACTAAAACAGGATGATCGAGCACATCACCCAGCCCTAAAGTTCTTCCACTGAGAGAAAACACTTTAAAATACTGTTGGTAGTTTATAAATCAATAAATGCCTTAGCAACACAACACATTGCATTACAGCACTGACCAACAGTTTGACGTGTAATGACAACACTTTGCAAAATGTCATGTTTACTGTGATATTTAAATTCTAATGACATCATAACTAGTGTATGATAGTGTTAAAACTAAACACAGCAAAGACTGAGAATAAAACACACATCATCTTGTTTGATTGCTCAAAGTTTTATTTTTGCTCAGCCAAAGAATAGCAGAAAGTTTTGCATAGAAGATTCTTTCTTATAACTCATTCAGTCTGACTTTAGACTTAGACTTAGACTTAGACTTAGACTTGACTTTATTGATCCCTTGGGAAGACTCCCTCAGGAAATTATAGTTACCAGCAGCTCACAGGCAAAAATGTGGCACACAGTAAGCATACACAAAATACAAAAAAATACAAATTAAATACAAAACAAAGAATATAAATACAACAAAAAAGGAAATTATAGCAATTTGGTCGATAGATTGACCAGTGATATGGTATTGCACTGTATGGTTTGGCCTGATAAATATGGAGTTCACATTTGTAGAAAAACTACTCCTTCTTCCCTCTGTCCTGTGTCACCTCCGACCCCCCAGTGAGGAGTTGTACAGTCTGAAGGCGTGGGGGACAAAGGAGTTCTTGAATCTATTGGTCCGGCACTTGGGAAGCAGCAGTCTGTCACTGAACTTTATTACAGAGAGACAATCCAGCTGCTGTTTGCTTGTCGCTTCATTGCTTAGGTTGCATTAAACAGAGAAATGATAGAAAGTAGAGAAGCAGAATATCTTTTGGGTTTTCTATGAAGATGCAAAAAGGCAGGAAAACATAAACAGCAGCTCTGATTCTCCACTGGTTCTGTTTTACACATCAGGCCTTTTTGGGAAGCTCACAGTTTTCACATTGTCTTGACACAGACAGAAGGTTTACGGGCACCACAGTCGAAGTCATCCCAGCACTTTGCACCTAGAAGTAAGGGAATAAATGAGTCATCGCAAACACAGAATCCTAATAAAACCTGACACAGTATCATTTTTTATAAAGTTTGATCAACTAAAGCTTTTTAACATATCCTCCTACTGCTACTGCAATAAATGTAGATGTAGATCAACCAAAAAGTTTGCATGCACAGTAAATAAGCCTTTACCTATTAGTTGTTATAGCAATTCAAAAATAATTTTCTTTTACCTGAATAGTTTATCTGTAAGCAGTGCTGCATGCCATTAGCATTATTAGGCTCTGCTGGACACCAGTTTGTGTGGCTAAATAGATTTCCATCACTCCATAACCAGATGCTCTCCTGGAAGACAGAGTTCAGCAGATGATACATTTCATTCAATCTTTCACAATATACTCAAAATAATAAAGTGCACTGGTAACAATACCTCTTGTGCATTAGAGCCTCCAATCCATGTTTCATTGGACTCATGACTTGCTGTAAATATCAGAGTCTGAATCTGATGGTTCTCGTTCATGTTGTGAATTGATGCAAGGTTTGCCCCCATGGACAGACAGTTTCTCTATAGATAAACAAATAATGATGTGCTGAAGAAATGTGTGAAAGAAAATCAGAGAGGAGTCTCGTTGGAAGTCACTTCGGCTCCAGCCCAAGTCATCTCATTGGCAACATATTGAAAACAGCGACTGTTGATCAGAGTCCAGCCGAAAGGACAAGAAGGAGATCTGATAAAAAACAAATGGATTCAGAGTTCAGATCAAGAGCCTTATGTGGCTTTATACAGTGACATTGTTCCGTTGAATCAAAATTATGTAAGATTAAATTAAGTATAAATTACATAACAGACTGACACTTGTGCAGGTCAAAACTACATGTGTGCTTTGCAAAAAACAGTGGAGACATTTTAATAAAAGTCTATTAAATATTCTGAAAAGAAAATATGTGTTATGTTTTAATAAAGTGCTTGACAAGAAGATCAACGTATTTTAGAATTTGTGTTTGAGTATTCAGTCTAAGGAAATAAAACATAACAAAAACACCCACCGATCATCACCAGGAGTGCCATCATTGGAGACAGCTGTTGACATTTAAAACAGGAATTAGTTTCTGCTTGTATTTTAGTCACTTTCTGATTTCTTCAAAAGTAATAAATACTCACAGGTAGCAATGGTCACAACCATAAAGGAGAAAACGAGGAACACAGCCAACAACTTCATGATGGAGACGATGGAAATATAAAAGCTGAAGGCAAATTGAAATAAAGCATTCATGTCAAGAACATTCAAACAATGGCACAAAAAAGATGAGCAGGAATTTGATCAGCAAACCTGATGCAGAATGATCTGTCTTTTTAGAAAGCCAGCACCTTTAACTTCACTGTAGAATCACTTAATATTTATAGAGCTTCTGATTTTGCTACTTTCGCAAGATGAGGAAATGAAATTCCAAAGAAATGAACTGTTAGTTCACATCTGGTTGAACAGGAACTAAAGTGTTGCAACTAAGTTCACATATCAAAATAAGATATTTATCTTTCCATTTCTATTGAGAAGGCAAAATGCAGATGAACCCGTTAGACTGAGCACAATAATTAGGCATTTGCCTCTAATCAGGTCGTCCTCACAGATTGAGTGACTGTGGAAGAAAGAGAGCAGTGAGAGGAGAGCAGGACAACCATGACCAGGCTGAAGGAGCTCCAAGCTGCAGCAGCTCAGATATCAGATTGGCCAAACGGTCTGGAGATTTTCCTAAAGGCCATTCTGTTCTGAACCTGCCAGAGGTCAGGATGCTTTATGCTTTTATCCCATAAATAAAATGCAAATATAGCTTCATTTTTCCATTTAGTAACTTTCCTGATTGATCTGATTGGCTGGATTTTCAACTCAAATTTAACCTCAACCTGCAATGGACCCGGCCTAATCGGAGTAGAAGACATGTCATAAACAACAAGACGCGAAAGAGAAGAAATATTTGGTAATTCTAGCATCTGAGAGAAAATTAAACGTTCTTCCTTTAATCAAACTGTTTTGACAGATGACCTTTAACCTGTCCTTGTGTCTGTCTGGTGATCAGACACGAGGCTCAAATTATAATAATGAAGCAAGAAAGTCTTAGAGAAACACTATCACAACATTAATAATGTACAGTCTTATAAATAATATAATTGTTTTTGTCCATAAAGAAAACTGCAATAAGTTCCATTTTCTGTTTGCCTCAAGCAAATACTTAATTTAAAATAAAATAAAAATAATTTACAACTTATTATTTAGTCACAAAAGTAAAGTTCTGTTAAATTGTTTTCCTGTGTCCAGTAGCCATTATGCATCCAGAGAGGAAACAGAGATGGATCGAGAATAAAAATGTCTACATTTCTTTACACAAAAAGAACAGCAGAAAAGATCCAATAGCAAAACCAAAAAACTAAATTGTAGTAATTTTAATGATGTTTGGAGTTTCTTTTTTCTGATTTGACAAATCTCAAATTTTCTGCAGCTCTTATAGTCGTTTTGTGGAGGTTAGCGTTCCTGGAGGGAAACCTGTTTTTGTTTTTCTGATTAGTCTAATTGTTACTGATGTCAAATATATTTGCTGTTGAAACAAACAAACACAATTGGGGATAAAAAGCATGTCATTTTCACTGAAGACTAAATTCGTTTAATAATTCTTGATCATTGCTGTAGAATTAAAACTGAGGTGACACTGAAAACAAGTCAATTGGTAAATAGTCTGAAAGGCGAAGACAGAGGGGCGGATGCCACTTTTATTGAAGCAACATTCAGTTTCCTCTTTGCAAATTTCCAATGACTGAAAGACTTCCAGTGAATCGGAGGCCATGAGTTCAGCCTGCAGTAAAACATTCAGGATTCACAAAGACACAACGGCGCCGAGGAGGAGCCGCTTCCTGCAGCTGCTCCAAGGAACACATTTAAAGAAACAGCAAAATCAAGAAACTTACAAACACTGTTTCAGTTTTATTTGATTAAATATCTTATTCATCATAAGATTCCTGCAGGTTTCAATAATTTGTAACTTTCTAGGTTCTGCAACAGTTAATTATTGGTTCCTTTTCTCATCTTTGTTTTCCTTGTGCTCATAATGAAGACATTGCACTTTGGTGATAAATAAATATATTTTACATTCAAGCACAAAGTTGTTGTCTAGTCCAAGATATCAATAAAACAGTTTTGATCATTACAATTTACATTTTATTCTGAATAAATGAACAAACATTTGTGAAAATTATTCTACAACGTAACAAAAATATACAAAAGGTAATAACACACATACTTGTTAAAAAAAAATTTATCAAGTGCAGAAGTTTACATGAACATGAACATCTACAGTAGGAAACAGGAGAAAAGAAAAGGATGGAAACCATCCCAGAGCTCAATAGTGTAGAAACTAAATTCAAACATTAAAATAAAAATAAAAATAAATAAATAATAAAAGTGCGCTCTAAAAGTAGGAGCACAAAAAATGAAGCTGGATGCAACTACAATAAAAGCAAAATGGACCCATTACATAGCATTTTAAAAACCTGAGAATAAAAATTATTTCTCACATTTCCATCCAGCCAACTAGTGTTAGAGATTAAATATTCAATTATCCAACCAGCAATGTAACAGTAACGTATCTGGAGATAAACTGTTGCACACAGTCAGTGTCTTTGCAGCAGGACAGAAACACCTCGGAGCATGAGAGGGAATATTTAAATTAAGAAAACACCAAAGTTAGTTTCTAATCTTCATCTTTCAACAAACATTAGAGAAATTTGTTTCATCTTCACTACGATGAACTCTGATATCAAAAACTTTTTTAGAAGAAAAAGCAGCAGAGGAAAATGTTAAAAATTTAAATTGCATTAAGACATAATTCTTTATTCCACTTTCAAGCATTTTTATAATTTTATTTTTGTGTGAATGTACAAGCTTTAATTTCCATTTGCACCATAATTTCCTCTCTGGAAGAAGGAATTTCTTTTCTATTCTGTTTCTATTTTATTCTAATTCTAGAATTCAGCAGGTTTTTCTGGCAAAAACATTAAGTCACTCAGTCAAGAACTCACCTTTCTTGACTGCATAGTGATTCATCTTGCAATAAACCATCACACGGCAAAAATACATATTTACTGTATGAAAGTCATCCTCATGAATTCATAGTTGATCCTCTTGTAAAACATCAGGCCCACATTTCAGAGGTAAACTTGGATTAAGAAGATTTCACTCATTTGCTGAAAGGTTCTTCACTGCTCTGGTAAACGAGGGAGAGGAAAGTAAACGTTTTTGGAAGGAAAAGATGGAAGCAGCCCTAAAGAGTGTTTGCGTTGAAGCAGCCGAGCGTTCTGACGTGAGTCGCTGTGGAGAACCATGTGAGGCGGGAAGCGGTTTCCTCGTCCCATCGGACCACCGGTGCTGAAATCAGCTCAGCTGGGCAGCTGTGAATACGGACGACTCTGTGTTTTCTGTGGCCAAGGTCGAGATTCCCACTTTGGCTTTGGGAGCTCAGCAGTTTTGAGGAGCCTGGTTTTGTTACAGGAAACTCTGTGCTCTTCGAGTTGTGGTCTGAAGACCTGAAGAATTGTGGGTAATCCCAGTGAGGGGAGTTTCTTGGCTGGTTGTGTTGGGGAGCAGCAGGCATGGATTGGATTTTCCCCAACAGTTTCAGAATAGTCTGGTCTTTGTTGCAGTTCTCCAACTTGAGATGAGCCAACTCTGTTTGCAGATTCTCGATGATCCTGTTTGCCGTATTGTCGACCTCATCAGTCTCACTTGGTGGGTTTAGTAGGAACGTACCTTCACAGGTGACTCCTATTAATTCATGATCCGATGAAATTCCCTGGGTTTGCTGCTTTCGCTCAGCTACACAGACAAAAACAAAAATAATCAGGATTTAATGACATCTCCTTTTATTGGCCACTATAAAGGCGTGGAATAAAAACCATACTCTACATTTAAAATCTTGAGTTTGTAATATCAGCTCTGCTTGTCTGCGTTCAAACAACTACTGCATTAACAATCTCCTTTTAAAATGTTTAATTTGTTGAATAAAGTTCAGATTTACCGAGTTTGGAACATGCCCACCAGACGCCAGACACAGAGTCCAAGAGCAAACTGCAGCTGTCGCTTCAATGGAGAAGACGGCGAGCTGGACGGGTCTGGACCTCATCCACTGAGCTGGAGCAACAATATGGAAAGATTAACATTCAGATCAACTGCTAAAAATTTATTCAGCAATTAAATCCGTTCACTGGAGGATCCTAAATTTGTTCCAGCATCACTGAATGATCTTTGGTATAAAGCATTTTAGCCTGTTTTGCATTTTATTTTATGTTGTCTCCAATAAAATGTTAGATCACAATATACATATAGAATACAGAATAGTTTAACGGTGCGACTATAATGAAATATAACATATTGATTAGATTAGACATCTTTGTACCTGGAAGGAGGATTTCTGCAGTTCTGCTCTGGTTCGTCTGCGGCTGTTTGACTCTGCAGACGATCCTGTTGACACAGATCAGTGTTTAAATAAATTTATTTTTATGCTTTTAGTTCTGGACCTACTTTTTGTGTCATTATGAACATTTTGTCTTGGACTTGTTATTAACCATTTAAAGAATATTAAACAGATGACAACATTAATCTCCCAAAATTTCTAAAACTGTCAAATTCCTAATGACTCCTTTTGAGCTCCCTCTAGTGGTGAAAATAATCAGACACAGAAAGGCCATGTTGACTTGCTTTTAGGCTTGTTGATATTAGAACACTCAACAACCGTTTTTGTTAAGCCTTTTTCATAAAATTTCAGGATCTAACACTTTTCTTAAGGCTGCAATCATCACTGTTTCTGATTCACACTTTTTTCTTCCACTCAACTTTCTTTAACTATGCTTGGATACAGCATTCTGTGAAAAGCCACCATTCTTTTCCCTACTGTAGAGGGAGACAAGCACCATTTTCTGGAGGCTCAAGACCCGATTAAAATGAAACTAAATAAATAAACAAATAAATAAAATCTTGAAATATTTTCACTCTTTCAGCTGCAGCTACTATTGGCTGTCAGCAGGTGGCAGAATTGCATCATTGATGTGTATTTGGTTGGTGATTTTGATGATGGCATTTGACTAAATCTAATGTTTGTTGGTTGTTCCTTAATTGGTTATTATATGTTTTTGGTGCAAACTGCCTTGTTTCTGAAATGTGCTATTCTAATAATCTTGACTTTAATTTCTTTCTTATTTCTTTGTTTTATTCCCAATTTAATCTTTCCACCCTACTAGTAGCTCTGTTGTGAAGAAATATCTTGCTCTTTGTTCTGGTAATTGGAAAGTAAGGAAAAGAAAAGCAGGTTTAACAGTAAGCAGGTAGATAATTAAATAGTTGGTTGGTTAATTGACCGACAAACTGAAATAAATCCTGACTTTCTTGCCCAGTTGAGTAAAAAGGCAGAAGAAAACCTGAAGTCTTGTTCTGTTACCTGGTTGTGTGACTCGGCACGCTGGCCGTTTGCCTCACTGTGTAACATTCAGTGGGATCTGCTGCTCGTATCTCCACAGTGTCTGTGATGTTCTTCCCGTTTTCATCCACAATCTCCATCAGTGGAGCCGGCAGCCAGCAGGTCGCCTCACAGGCCACCGTCACTCTCTGGTTCTGGACAGAATCCACTGAAAGCTTTGGGTCAGACGCTGCAGCTGGACAAATAAGCAAACATTAAAATCCAGCATCAATATGGAAAATGTTGAGCCGACAGGAGCTGAAGCCGTCATACCAACATCCAGCTGCATGTTGGTAGCATCTCTGCTTCCGTTCCTCTGGATGATCAAACACTGATAGATCCCGGCGTCCGACGGCTTCACGTTGCAGATCCTCAGCGAGACGTTCCCGTTTTTCACCTCCCTCATGAAGGGCTCGTCCTGAACTCGAAGGCCGGGTTCTTCATCTCAAACGTCTCAAAGCCATTGCGGTACAAGAAGACCACGTTGGGCTTCAGGCCCTCCTTGGACCACTCCACTGTAGGCAGATCATCGCTGCCAGAGTTTTTCAAACTGCAGGGCAGGACGGCATTCTCACCTGCAAAGGCCACGACCTTCTGGGGGTCAGGATTTTCAGAGAAACAACCTGCAAGACAAGATTAAGGATGCAAAATGCAATATAAGTTTTAATTTCACAAACAATGTTTGTGTGAAATAAATATTGTTTAGGTTAAAATAAAAGTAATAGATGATTAGTAAATTATGACAAAATGATAGAAACATATTTTCTCTCCTTTTAAAACTCTTGCTTTAAGACGGTCTTAGAGATTTTCAGTTTTAGTCACTAAAACTGATTTGACTCTTAATGCAAACAGGTTTCTGAAGAAGCTCTTCCACATTCTTCATGTAATTATGCAATCCTGTACTTTCCTCACAGGCCTCTGATCCCAAACCGACCCACTTTTCTGCACGGAAGACTCTCCCATCAAGTGAGAAGAACCAAACATATCAGCCCCGTGATTCAGACAACTTGTTTAGGCAAAGTATAAAACAATAACTCAAGCGTTCATAAGATAAAAAGCAGCAGGTTTGCAGCTCTTTCAGGGTGTGATCACTTTTCACGCAGACTAAACTTTTCCACTCCTGAAGGTGCAGTTCACATGCAAAGCCTGGAAACCCAAATGGATCAAGCAAATAAATCTTCTGGAATGTCAAAAATAAACCGTCGTCAGTTTCAGTACCGCCTTAAGACACAACACAGACGTGACTCACGCTCTCAGTTTACAAGCTACAACTGTAAGAGTTTGAATGTTGTGCAACTTTGAAACAGATGTACTCAGAAAATAGTTGGTCAGTCAAAAAGTACCCAGCTAAATGCAGGAGGACATAATGTTACGATCATGAACAAATGTCATCATCAAAGTCTTGGCTTCATTCTGCAGTGAATGTGAAGGGAAATTCCCGTGGTTGTTGACGTTGATGTTTCAGCGTCATTAGGATCACTAAATATGAAAGGAATGTTGATCTAATTAATTCACATGCACATTTTGTGCAATAAAATTAAATTAACCTACTGAGCTGCTCATTATTGTGGACTGGGATATACTGCTTTTCATGGCAATGCAATATTTATGTTGAAAAACTGTACTTGCTGTAACTGTATTTTTATTTCCTTTTGTTTGTATTTGTATATCTTTGTATGAATCTTTTTGTGCTGATTGCCTGTCATGTTTGTTCTGTTGTACAGAAATGAATTCCTGTTCTATTCCAATTCCTACATCAACTTAACTTACATCAAGATCTTGAGTCGACAGTAATGAAACCAGTCTTAATACTGTTTTTATTGCATGACTGTTGGACTTGAGTTGTGATGCTCAATCTCAAACGATGTGCCGTATAATGCACCTCAGAAACCGTCCACACGGTTTATCACCACACAGGGAACCAGAGCCTGAAATCCAAAAATGTTTTGGCCATTTTTGGAGAGCAGAGAGATCAAAGATCTGCTGAAGGGAAAACTCCATCAGCACCTGCAGAAACTAAAAAGACTTTATTTGCAGAGCAACGTGTTTCAGCTTGTGGTCTCCATCAGGATGACAACCACAAGCCCAAATAGTCTGCAAATAGCTGTTTCTTTCTACTTCAAGTATTGCCATAGGCTTCCCCTCAATACCAGAAGTTCCTGCTGAGACATCATTGGCCGAAAGGCTGGATGCAATAATGTCAGTCCATCACAGCGCCGCACACACAACAAATGACAATTTACATTCTCCTTTATCTCAGCGTTAATTTAGAGGACCCAATTAGTCCAACAGTCATGTTTTGCATTAATGGAGGAAACCAGGACATGCAGAGAAAACCCTGAATGAGGAGCCCAGCCTAAAAGGCAGCAGCATTACCAGCTGCATGGCTAAACAACCTTAAGATAATCTTTAAAAGAGAAAGCATTCACAGTATTTCAAGCAGCAATGATTGTGACACACTTTGCCACAGGGCTTTGTTATCTTTGTTACATTTCCATATCACGTATCAACACCTGCTGCTGGAACCCTGTCTGACACCAAATACCACGGAACAAACTATTATCACAAGCAAATGGGGCAGAGAGTTAACTAAACAAAAGTGTTGAACTTGAGCCTGAACCTTGCAGCCAAAGCAGATAAGATAACAAACCCTGGAAGTCCCCTCTTACGTGGATCAGTGTAAAATGAATGAAAGTTTTCCACACACTGACGTCAAGCAAACCTAAACCTCACTTCATGTTCAATTTAATACCAGTTTAAACTGGTTTTGGAGCAGCTGCACTTTAACTGTTTACACTGCATCATAGAAAGCAACGAGAAACTAGAAAACTTTTTCCACTTTAAAAACTTTCTTTAGTTCCAGTGAAATAAAATCTCACTTTAAATGGCATTTTTGCCAGTTTACTGAGTTCCACAACACATTTAACATGTCAAGGCACATTTATAATTCATTAAGATGAACTCCAGAGGAAATAACTTCAAACTACACATACCTTTTGATGAGAGCAGTCCCAGGACAAAGTAAAGAAAAAATGCATCACTGTTCTCTGCTTTTATGAGAAAAACCCTCAAGTTTGACTAAACCTTTACACACCTGACCCCATCAGGTTCAAACATCTGATATGAATGTGAACAAACTTCATTCAGAAAATCTCTCTCTCTCTCTCTTGTGGGCGGGGCTTCTGACAGAGGTCAATCAAATCTCTCCTCAGGTGTTGAAGGGAGGATATGACTCAAACTTTCACTAGAATATTCTGTACTGGCATCAAGCGCCACAGATGATAGTGATTTAGTCTCAACTGTCTTTGTTTAGTTTCTGAACCATGAACACATCTGGATTTGGGATTTTTTTTAACTTTAAGATCAAATCCTGGAGGAGATAAAATTGATTTGTTTTTTAACGTATTTACGACTAAGTCCAAAAATGCTCTCTCTGTGCATGCACCGGTTCTCTGTGTACTCAACTCCAAAACTTGCCGGTCATATTTGCCCAATAAACAGTGTCTCTGGATTAGTCCAACCACACCCAAAGACAGAATGCAGCTCCCACGCCAGCCTGAAGCAGGTGCTTGTAAAGATACGACACATGGGCGAACGGGAAAACTGAGCAGTGTCATACTAGGAATTATAAGGAGTGGATCTTTAAAGTTTAGGAACACCTACGATGTTAGATTTTGAAGGAAAACATCCTTTATCCTTGCAGGATTGCAGGGGTCTGGTGCTGAGAAGTGTCTTACTCATCTGGTTCTTGCAGCTGCAGACATCAGCTCTGGCAGGTGACAAGCAGAGAACATTCACATATAGCTCATTAGCATAAACTGTAAATTCAGACAGTACAAAAAACCAGGTCATGTCTGCACAGCAGCAAGTAACAATAGTCGCCCCACAGTTGCTTATTCAGCAACTTCCTTGCTACCCGTATCAGCCAAAATAGGCAGGACAGGGGTTTTACAGAACAGTAAAACGCCCGTGTTTGTTTGTTAATTTTGGGTATTTAAAATATCTTCCAATTCCAGTGATAAATGTTCATCAGAATTTCAGGTGTATTGATCTTTGAGAATCTGTTCTTCCATGAGCAAAAACAACAATATTATCATTTATCACAATGAATATAAAAACAACACACATCCACTGTGTGACCCAGAACATATCAATTAAATTATTCTCACATTGCGCCATCTAGTGGTCAAAGTTGAACATTTCAGGTCTTTCTGTGCCAGTGCAGAATCCCGGTTCCTCTGCATGACCTTACATTAAAACACATCTTATTTATGCAGTTTTTACATTAACTGTTTGCAGTATCTTTCTCAAATGTTACTCCTGTTTATTTTAACCAGATAGTGCTGATTTTAAAAAATAGTTCAGAAAACAGAGCATCACAAGAATTTGATGAATAAACCACACACCATCTTGTTTTGATTGCTCAAAGTTTTATTTTTTCTTGGCCAAAGAATAGAAGAAAGTTTTGCATAAAAGATTCTTTCTTATAACTCATTCAGTCTGACTTTATTACAGAGAGACAATCCAGCTGCTGTTTGCTTGTCGCTTCATTCCTTAGGTTGCATTAAAGACAGAAATTATAGAAAGCAAAAAGGCAGAAACATAGACCTTTATAAGGTCTATGAAGGTTAAAAAGGCAGGAAAACAGAAACAGCAGCTCTGATCCTCCACTGGTTCTGTTTTACACATCAGGCCTTTTTGGGAAGCTCACAGTTTTCAGAGTTTCCTGACGCAGACAGAAGGATGCTTGTTATTACACGACGAGTCATCCCAGCCTAGGAGCAAGAGAACAAATCGGTCAAACTTCCCATAAATAAACTCTGAAGTGACCTAAAACTATATCATGAAAATGATCGAAAAGGTTGTTTTATTAAACCTTCATGCCACAAAAAAATATTAAGATAAGCTCCTGTTTATGCAGTAAATGCACAGTTGAAGCCAGAGATTGAAACACGCAAAATAAAAACACAAACATTTTTTTCCTACTCTTTGAAATTAAATCAGACCGAACTTGTCGGGATTACAAAATTATTTCTATTTGGTAAATTCCAGAACATTTTTCACACAATCCAGAAGTTTACATAAGTTAATTCAGTATCTGTTTTTAGCTGAATGACGTGGGTCAAATGTGGGTCAACTGTTTGCAAAGGTCAACTAAAATGTTTCCATGTAGAGTAAATGGATTTTCACCCACGAGCCCTGAAACCAGCAGAACAAACAGACTGGTGTGATATTTTCTTTACCTGACCAGTTCATCTGTAAACAGTGCTGGCTTCTTACTAGGCTCTCCTCGACACCAGTGTTTATACAGCATGGGACTTCCATCGCTCCACAACCAAATTCCCTCCTAGAAAAGTGTTCAGCAGATGACACATTTCATTCAATGTTTCACAAAACACACGACAAATAAAGCGCAGTGGCAAAAGTACCTGCTGTGCATCAGAGCCTCCAATCCATGTTCGTCCAGATTTACCACTTGCTTTATGTATCAGAGCTTGAACCTGATGGTACTCGTTCATGGTGTGAATTGATGCAAGGTTTGCTCCCATGGACAGGCAGTTTTTCTATAGAAAAATGCGTAGAAACTTGTCAGCTAGTTTGGTTAAAGAAGAACAGTGAAATAAAAGAAAATAAGAGAACAATGGGGTTTAAAATCACCTCGGCTTTAGCCCAAGACATGCGTTTGACAACATAGCGAAAGCAGCGACCGTTGATTGGAGTCCAGCCAGAAGGACAGCAATTAAACCTCTGGAGCAATGCAAGTCGTTCTGATGGCAAACAGAAGGAGACTTTGAGTCAAGAGGGGTCTGACAGTGAGTTTTCTACACCTCTATCTACACCGATTGCAGTTTTCTGGCCAATCGCCAGTCAAAAACTTTCAGAAGCCTGACCTGATGCAGATTTTTTACCCTTTTGTCTGAAATGTTGCTAAATATACCAAGAAAGTCACGGTTTTGGCAACAGAAGGGCGACTATTGTTTAATGCAAATGTGCAGACATGACCTGGTGGCTCTGATAGACCTGGCAGAGCAGAAGAGGACAGCGGTGGTCTTTAGGCCTCTGCTGAGGTAGATAAGCCAGGTGGAAAAGATCAGTTTTCATCTGTAACTATCAACAGTTCATTGATCTCCCAAAATTGAAGGAAAAGTATGTGTTTTAGTAAAGTGTACCACAAGAAGATGTGTCAAAAGTACTACGGATCAGAACCGAGGCTGCAAGCAGTTACATTTGGGAGACAATGACATAAAACACCAAATATGAGGTGCTGTGTTGGCATGGGGTCAAACCACGACCCACGTATTGATGGTGGTCACAAGTTCAATTCCCAACCTGGTGACATTTTCCACATGTCTTCCTCCTCTCTCTTTACCCTGTTTCCTGTCAAACCACTTTCAAATAAAAAGCCACTAGAGCCAAACAAAAAAGATAACAAACATCAAATAATGTTTATCAGCAGAGCCAGAAGCTCTATACGTATATTTGAAACTGATGTTAATTTGTGTTTTTAGTCACTTTGTGATTTCATTATACTTAAAATACTCACTGTCACCACTGCTCTTAGCCGTCTGGCCAGCAGCTTCATGATGGAGATGACGCTGATGCAAATTTGCACACTGAAAGCGAATCGAAGTAAAGCAAACATGTTAGTAAAATTCAAATGTGTTGAAAAAAAGATGGTCAGAAAATTGGTCAGCAAACCTGATGAAGGATGATGTTTCTTAGCCAGGCAGCACCTTCTACCTTCGCTGCAGAATCACTGGATACTTATAGAGCTTCTAACTTATTATGACTCGGGGCAATTTCACAGAATTGCCACAGAATTGCACTCCATTAACATATGCAGTCCACACCTTGCCTCATCATTCACCATTGACCAAAACCTCTCCTGGTCTTTGTACTTGTCATGGCTGTGACAGTTGCAGCAAGAAGGGTTTTGGTAATTGAGCAAACTTAACTGAAAGTGTAGCAACTAAAGGCCTATTCTTTAATGCTAATTGTTATTAAATGTTTGTCGGCAGGCATTGTTTCTATGTGCACCGTGTCAAAGGTCACAAAGCAAATCTTTGCCTCCACTGACAATTGTAAGAGCAATTTATTTTCCTCCTAGTGTCTGCATGTTTCAATTTCCATGTTGAGCACATAAACATAGAAAACAGCAGTTTGCCGCTTCTGGGGTCATCTTCAGAAACTGAGGGAATGCAACAGGAGAAATTAGGACACAGGATGAAGGAGCCAAAAGCTTCAGCAGCTCAGATATGAGACGGATCTCGCTCATCTATGACTTTTGGGAAAGTGGAATAGAAAAAGTCTACTGGTGAAAAAAGAGATCAATCCTGAGATAGATAAAATGAAAGCAGCAAAATGCCAAAAACATCCTGGATGATTATTTATTTAATCTGCAAAAGAACTACAGCTTCAGAGAATATTTACTTTCCAGCAAAACAAGAATCCAAAGCATCCAACTGATCTACACAGCAGATATGATTTGATGGCCATCAAAGCAAAAGTTCTGGAGTGGCCTAGTCAAAGAGCAAACCAACTATGATTTCTGGCCTCCCTCAAAAATTCCTAAACACATGTCAGGTAGAGGTGTAGAAAACTCACTGTTCAGTACGTTATCAGTTCATTCAGGTCAGAACATGCATGGTTACTCTCCTCATCAGATATCAGTGCAGGCTCTGTGTTTGCTGGTGTCTCTCCAGTGAGCATTGGGGACAAAGCAGGGGGACCTGGAAAAGTCACCTGGAAAGGTCACCAGTCCATCACAGAACAAAACAAACACATGGGACATACAATCATGCAGACTCATAGAGACAAAGGGTCAGTTTGAGTGACCTGTTGACCCAACAGTCATATTTAGGCGTCAGAGGAAGAGGCTGTACCCAGAGAACATGAGGAAACTGTCGCAAGACAATAATCCCATCAACTGCTCTATTGAGCTACAAAGCAAGAAACATAAAAAGATCAAATATAGTTAAAACATATCAATTGATAAAATTGAGTTTAATTTTGCTTAATAACCTGCTATGAAATAAGGAGTGTTAGGTAAAGACAACATGCCTAAGATAAAATCAGAATATAAATTAAAACTGTCATTATGTGTTGCTTCACCTTCTCAGGGTTTCGCAAATCGCTGAGTCGTCCTTACTAAGGTCTAGACTAGGAGGCATCTAAACATGAATATTCATATCGTTCATTAGTGCTTTGCAAAAACTACAGTTTGAATTTCACTAATATATTCTTTCATGCTTTCAATAATATGAACTTACAAATGAATCAGACACTTGAAAGCTAACTTTGGTTCATTTGAACAGAACCGTTAGAAACCGCTGAGTCACCTTCCCTTCCTACCTAACAGACTGGAATAAAACAGTTAGCAGAGAAAGAGTTTGGAAAGTTTCTGTCTGGCTTTAGAGCCCTTCACTGCACTGGCTGCACTTTTAAAAGTCATTAATGATTCTCTGATGACTTAAGATAATGGACCTGTGTCTCTACTGGTCCTGCTGGATCTAGTTGTTTCTGATCCAGTGGATCCTGATATTCTCTGGAGCACTGACGAAGCCTCAGGACCGTTGAGTTGTCTGTGTTGAAGTGTGAAGATGTTTGCTACATTCGCAAACATCTTTACCTTCATTCAACCTCTTCTAGATCACATCTTAGTGTTTCCTGCACTGCAGGCCAAATCCTGACCTCGATGTCTCAGACTGGATTTTCTTCAATACCAAAGAAAATCAAGAAATATCTGGATTAAAACAGTGATTAAATTACAAACAGATGAACTATTTACCATGCTTTTGCTGGCTTCTGTAATTTATTTAGTGATTTTAGATGTCAGCATAAATGCACACTACATATAAATACAATGGATCCCTGGTACCACTGGGATTAGAGACCAGAACTGGTCACAAGTTTAGATCCACATGTTTGAGATCTCCTCTAAAAACAGTATAGCTGCCATTTTAATTGTTCAACTCTACATATGCCTTTATATGCATTTTAACTCTGCACTTACTTTTATTCCAAATCTCAAACAAGACAGACGAGATTTTTTTTAACCTTATTTGTATATTTTACAAATAACCTAAAGGAGTAAAATACAGTCAGATAAGATATTAACAAAACATAAACAAAGCAACAACATGTTCAGTCTCTCTGACAGAATAAAACCCAAGAAAAAA